ATGCTAGGATTGAGATCTTATTTATCATGCCTTCTAGCTCTTCCTACTGCTGATCTACCCATGCAGCTTGTCTGCCAGGGCCTGTTGGCTAGGCTCCAACTTTTACTAGCTGCTAGAATACCCTTTTTTCCTTCAATTCTTGATCTCCTAGTTCCCAAGGTTGGCATAATTGGTAATGAAGAGACCTGCCAATGTCCTGCTTGCCCCATGCTCACTCCCCTTGATGTAAGCCACAGCTTTGGTTAGAAAATGTCTTTGGGAACCCTGAAAAATTCTAAACTCACCTTCTCTTTCTGTTCTCCCTCCTGTGTCTCCTGGGTCATCCTCCTAAAGGCAAAGTGAATTGTCAGGCACTAAGTGTGCAGTCAGATTTAGTGATTGTATGATGGAATTAATTGATGTCTGACTGTCAAGGGTTGTAGAGCATTGATGGGTGGGTCTAGCCACTGGTGGCATTGGCAGGCCCCTAGGGCTAGAATGTGGCTTAGAGAGTATTGTTAGGGACACCTTGATCCTGGACATGTCTTTTAATTACAGACCTTCCCTCTGACTACAGACACCATAGGCCCAGATGTCCATATACAGACAGATACCTCAGGGACATAGCCAGCACAACTTTCCTGCTCTTTTCAGAGGAAGAGCACCTAAGTTTCCTACAGAATAGTTGTGCCTGGCCACATCTGCAGTGTGGCTGGGGATGACTTGACCCCTTCTGTGCTCTACCCTTATACAAAATTGATTGTAGCTTGGAGAATATTGTGGTTGGTTCTTTCAAAAAGATTCACTACTTCAGAAGTTGATGAAAGAATAACAGAATTCATTTGGAGGTGGGGAAAGTTGAGAATTTAAAAGGAAACAATTAAAAAATGTGGGAATGAAAAGCAGCTTGGCATTACCTGTCTCAAACTCTATTACAAAACACTAATCACAGTTTAAATGGTAAGTGGGAAGTAATCTTATAGGGAAGGCAGTAGCATGGGGAGGATGGGAGGAGGGGGAGACAAAGAGAGGCTTTCTGCAGACAGTGGGATTTGAGCTGAGAATTAAAACCAAGGAAGCAAGGAGACTTCTTCATTCCTCCCACTCAGTCACACTTCTCTAGACTTTTCCTTCATGCCTTTCCCTACCCCTTCCAACCTGTAATTCCACCCACCCCCCCTTTTTGTGTGCTGTCTTCTCCAATTAGATTGTAGCCTCCTTGAGGGTAGGGACACTCTTTCTTTTTTTCATATTTGTATCCCCAACTGGGCACAGTGTGCCTGGCACATAGTAGGTGCTTAATAAATAATTATTGACCGACTGATTGACAGGTTAAGAGGGAAAGCATTCCAGGCATAGGGTACCGCCAGTGAAAGACACAGAATAGAATTAAATAACTTTCATCTCATATCCATAACATGATAAATATGATAAAAGACAGAATTAGCCAATGTTGGAGAGACTGTCAAAGCCAGGCACATTTATATACTATTGACAGAGGTGCCAATAGGTCCAACCTTTATGGAAAACAATTTGGAATTATAATTAAAAAAGGCCACTTAACTCAAAACCCTGTGACTTAGTGATTGATACTATACGTGTGCCTCAATGAAGTAAATGACAGCAAGAATGGTGCCTTATTTGTTGATACTACTGTGTAAAATTTAATATACAAATAAAACCCAAGCTGTATGTGAAAAAAAAAAAAAGAATGGTGCCTTATATGCTAAAATATTCATAGCAGTAAGAAAAAGCTGGGAAACAAAGTGGGTAACTCTCCATTGAGTTGGTTGAATAAACTGTGATACCCAAATGGATCAGATGCTGTTCCATGAGAAATAACATGCGGAATTAAGAAAAACACAGGGAGCATTGATGCAGAATGAAAAAAGGCAAAGTCAGGAGAAGCACCTATACAATAACTTGTTGTTCAGTTGTGTCCAACTCCCTGTGACCCCATTTGTGGTTTTCTTGGCAAAGATACTGGAGTGGCTCACCATTTCTTTCTCTGGCTCATCTTAAAGATGAGGAAATTGAGGCCAAGAGGGTTAAGTGCCTTGCCCAGGGTGACACAGCTAGTAAGTTAAGTGTCGGAGAGCAGATTTGAACCCATGAAGATGTGCCTTCCTGATTCCAAACCCAGTGCCCTACCCACTGTGCCACCTAGCTGCCCCATGATGGGATAACTACAACATAAATGAGAACAACTCGAGAGGTCATCATTCAGGTTACAGACAGAGTTTGATCTCGGGTGCAGAGAACTGATCCCAAAATGCAGTTCTCTCACGGTGGAGAGGGGGACGAACTGGATGGCCTCTGAGATCCTTCCAGCTCAAGGCCTATTAGGTTCTGTCTCAGTCTGGGTGGGGATTGTGGCATAATGATGTCAGCCGCTGTGGGTTTATTCTCCTGAACTGTTTTTCTTTGTTATAAAAGAAGACTCTCTGGCTTGGAGTGGGTGAGGTGAAGTGTAATTAGTGGAGATGGGACAGGACAGTGTTGTAAAAAACCAAAAACATCAATAAAACACTAACTATTCTAACTAGCTAAAAACATTTTATTCCCCTGGCTTCCTTTCTAATTTCACCTTCCTCAAATGGCCTGGCTTCAGCCGCCCCAGCAGAATTGTAGAGGCAGTGGAGGGGGGGCACAGGGAAGAGGGGGCTGGTGTTGCTCCTGCTCTGGTAAATAGATGCCTCCCAGAGGAGTCTTCTGGGCCCTGCCCACATCCTGCCTGTATTGTCTTCTCTTAGCTGCATTTCTTAGTTCTCACTAGACTGAAAGAAACCTTGAAGCCTCATTTATTTTATCTTATCTAATTTTTGGTCATTTCCTTGCTCCTTTGTGTTTTTTAAAAAAAAATGGTATTTTGTATAAGGAGAGGCCAACATGTGTCACTGATGGTGGGAGGGGAGGTATGGAGCAATCTGCTCTTAGTAATATGAGTGAGGTCCAAACCAGGAGCCCAGCAAGCATAAAGCAAGGTTGGTAAACCCTGGTAAAGGCCAGGTTGGTACTGAGGGTTTTTCAAAAGGCCAAAACATTGTGTGGCGGTGGGTTGGAGGGGGAAATAGTCAAATACAGGAATAGAGATTTGGGCCAGAAGGTCAATGTCTAATCAGGAGGTAAGATATATAGGATCACAGATTTAGAGCCAAAGCTTAAAGGCCATGCAGTCTAACCCCTTTGTTTTATAGATGAGGAAACTGAGGCACAGAGATGTTAAATTCCTTGCCCAAAGTCACCCAGGTAGTAAGTGATAAAGATGGAATTGCATCCAGGTACTTTGATTCTAGGCCAGCCACTCTTTCTCTGTTCTGCACTAAATTCTGGGCTTGGTTCAACCTGTCTCTCCAGAGCTTTGGTGACCAAATGCATTCTCTTACCTTTGCCCTGCTCTGGTTATGTGCACCCACAGCACTCCTTCCTGATTCAGTCATGCCAATAAAACAGTGGGTTCATACACTTGCCAAGTAGAGTCATGGAATGTTATTGCCATGAAGGCCCTTAAAGGTTATTATTTTACAGGTAAGTAAACTGAGGCTAAGAGAAATGAAGTGGTTTGCCTCAGGTCACACAGTGACAGAGCTGGAACTTGGTTTCCCCAGCTCCTAGTCCAGGACCCTTTGCATTCTACCCCACTGTCCCTCTGGAAGTGGGAGCACGAGCCCTTTCCACTGAAGCACTGCTGCAAGGTTAGAGTCCGGGTATTGCCTTCAAACCAAGTAAGTATTCTAGGGTCAGGGTCAAGACATACCTTTTGTATGTTGTCTTCCCTCATTAGACTGTAAGCTCCTTGAGGGGAGGGACTTCTTTTTTTGTATTTGTATTTCTGGGGCTTAACCCAGTGCCTGGCACTTAGTAGGTGCTTAATGTTGTTTGTCTCTTGTTCCAAAGAGGACCAATGACATCACAAGTGAGGTCTTGACTTGTGAGTGAACTGGATACGTGAGGCAGACTTGCACAAAGTCGTCAGCCTCACTCTCTCTTTCAGAGTCATTGAAATCCAGTGGCAAGACAAAAGTCAGGATGACTGGTGATGGCTCAGGATAACCTTGAAAGCTTTAGTGTCTGACTAAGCTCTCAGTGTCCCACAGTACTTGCTTCAGTCTCCTTCATGGCCATTGGAACAAATTGTTCCCATTCACCCATTCCACATGGGGGGAAGTTTGCACATGTTTGGTGTAGACACCCCCTTAATTACTGATGGGTTTGAGGCCTGTCAGTTACCCTCAGCCTGGTTTAGACTGTCTGTTGAGTTGGTTTACCAAGGTGTGCTTCTGTGTATGCTTTAGTTTTTTCTAGTCACAGGTGCATAATAAATGTTTATTGATTGGCTGACGTCAGTGTAGGGTCACAAACTCAGAGATTGTGATCGGAAGAAAAGTAGCTGTAGCAAAGGTTAGGAATGAAGGAGATCACAAGGGAACTACCAAACCAAGATTAGAACCAGGACGTCAGAATTCATGCAGATGGACAAGGGGGTTTCTGAGGCAAGAGCAAGTTAGGGCTGGAAAGGCAACTCTCCAACAAGTGGCAACCATCCTTAATTATCAGCAATGTCTCCTCCCTATTTCCCTGAGTGCTCAGACCATCTGCTTTCCCCCTAGGCCCCAACAGAAGGCCGTAAGAGTCTCATATACAAAGGTGGGAAAGAATAGAGGTTGGGGGCATAGGGACAATAGAATTGGGGAAATGGCGAGATGACTGGTTTGGTTGTAAAGGAAGGGCTGCCCTGAGGAATGGTGAAGGATGAGGGTAGATGGGTAAGTTGGTGGTGGAAGGCCTTGAATGCAGAAGGGCCAAGACTTCACCTGGAAAGCCCAACCTGCCTAAGTCAGCTAGCCTGTGGTGATAGCTGCTTGAGAAACATCATCCTGGTAGCCATTCAGAGGTGACCTAGAACTCTTATTCACTAGCTCATAGAAATTGATGGTGTAGACACTGATGGGAGGAGTATTGCTGTCCTTGAGAAGGCCAACCTCTAGCTGTCATGCTTCTTTTTTCTCCTTTCTTGGCAGGTGGTCATGAAGACTTTGCCAAGATGATTGATGAAGCTGAGCCTCTGGGGTACCCTGTGGTGGTGAAGAGTACTCGAGGACATCGAGGTCAGTGCTCCTTAACATGTGGCACTCCCAGGAAATTCACCAGCATGCTTGGGAATTAGGGGGAGAAGCATTCAGCTCTCACACCCAGCCCATTTGAAGTGCTTAGTAAATGCTCACTGATTGATTTTTTTTCCTTCTGTAATGAACACTTAATAAATATCTGTGGAGTCTTATGGGGAATAGAAAAGACAAAGCATATGGTTCCCACTGTGGAAGAGTTTAAAGGCTGGCCGAGAAGCCAACATCGGCATTCCTGAAACACCAGGAGACCAAAACTCAGGCACTTCGTGGTCAATTGCATAATGAAGTGGTGCAACCATGGATGAATTACTTAACCTCTCTGGACCTCAGTTTCCTCATCTATAGAATAAAGGAGTTGAAGTAGATGGTCTCTGAGGTCACTTTTGATGTCTGTGATCCTGTCAGTTATACCAATAGCTGTCTTATTGTTCTTGGTAAGTCTTTTCAGCCCTGTCCAACTCTTTGTGACCCCATTTGGAATTTTCTTGGCAAAGATACTGGAGTGGTTTGCCATTTCCTTCTCCAGCTCATTTTACAGATGAGGAAACTGAGGCAAATGCAGTTAAGTGACTTGCCCAGGGTCACACAGCTATTAAGTGACTGAGGCCAGATTTGAACTCACAAAAATGAGTCTTCCTAACTCCAGGCCCAATGTTATCCACAGCGCCCCATAAGTGATTTGTGTTCATTGAGTGCCTGTGGTATGTGGGACCCTGTCCCTGGTGTTAGGGAGACAACTCAATTGTCACAGGATCACTGAATCTCAGAATTGGAAGGCGCAAGGAGGAAGACAGACTGTGGTTATTTAATCCAGCCCATTCCTGGGCGAGAACTCCCTCTGCAGCATTCCTCCAGGGAGGAGGAAGCGGCTACCGCCTGAGTCTGTGCATTGATTGCATTTGGGGATGGCTCTCGTTGCCAGAAAGCTTTTCCTTCCTTCCAGCTTCAGCCTGCCTCTCTCTGCCTTTTGTACCAGCTGCTCCAGGTTCTGCCTTCTGGAGCTGACAGAACAAATCGAATCCCTGTTTCAAATGTCATCCCTTCAGATACTTGGGGATTGCCCTCATGTTTCCCCTGCGTCGTCTCTGTCCCAGGCTGAACGCCCCTGTTTCCTGTAACCTATTCTCACATGGCATGGACTCGGGGCCCTTCACAAGCCCAGCTGCTTTTCTCTGGATGCTCTCCAGTGTGTTGGTGTCCTTGCGTCATGTGGCACCGACAGCTAAACACAGTATTCTGTATGTCTGCCCAGAGCAGAGTATGGCAGGACTGTCACCTCTTTATTTCTGAAAGCTGTCTCTCTTATTTTGGCTCAAGGCTGCCATGTCACACTGCTGACTCATGTTGAGCTTGCAATCCATTAAAGCCCCTAGATATTTTTCAGATAAATTGCAGTCTAGCCTACCTCCCCAGTGTTTTACTTAAGAAGTTGGTTTTTTGAACCCCAATGCAAGACTTTATTCTTATTCCTACTAAATTTATCTTACTCAGTTCAGATCAGCATCCTAACCTGCAAAGATCTTTTTTGAATCGTGACTGTCTCCATCATGTTTGCTATCCCTCCCAACTTTGGGCAGATTTGATAAGCATGCCACAGAGGGCCTTTATCTAAGTCACTGATAAATCTATTCAACAGCACAGGGTCAGACATAGCTCCCCAGGGAGACCTCTTTCCAATTTGAACCATCGATGATCACTTTTTGGTCTTGGCCCATTTACCCATTTCTAAATCTATCAGTTTTACTGTCATCTAGCCCACAGTGGTCCCTCTTTTCCACTGGAATAGCATGAGACACTTTATCAAATGCTTTGCTGAAACACAAATGAACTACACCCACGGCCTTACCTGCATCTACCTTGATTGTGTCAAGAAAGGACATAAAGTTTGTCTGGCATGATGTCATCTTGCTGAACTCTTTTCAATCCCCATTTCCTTTCCTAAATGTTTGCCAACCGTCTCTTTATTAATACGCTCTAGATTTTTGCTGGAATCACAGTCAAGCTCACTGGCCTATAGTTTTCTATTCTCTTTCATTTTTTGAAAACTGGGCCAACATGGATCCTTCTCCAATCCTGCAGTACCTTGCTGATCTTTAAAAGATCACTGATAGTGACTCAGCAGTCACACCCAGCACCCATAGATATAGTTTGTCTGGCAACTTGAACTTACCAAGGGCAGCTAGATACTCTCTTACTCTCCCCATGCTTTCTGTGCATCATTTCCCTGTTAGCCATTTTTGCTTTTTTCCTTTTCAGTCCAGAGATCATTCTTCCTGGCCAAAACAATAGAAGCAAAATAAGCTTCAGGGCAGCTCTGCTTTTTCTTGATCATCATTGACCCATCTACCACAAGCAGAAACTCCATTTCTTCTCTGATTCTACTATTGCTCCCAATATATCTTTCTTAAGTTTTTTAAAGTTCATTTTGAACTTGAATACTTTAAAAATTACAAAAAAAGCAATTTCTGTGTATATAGCACAACCTATAAGGATTCACTATAGCACCATGAATTTACATTTCACGCTGTTTACTTTGTTTGAAAAACTATATAGTAAGTCCTACTCATCATTTTCAAAGCTACTCTACTTTTTGTGCTTCCTTCTACATTTTCTTTTATTTTCTGCTGTGTACTTTTTGTATTTTCTCCCTCCCACCCACCCTCGCCCTAGAGATGACTACCATTAGACACGAATATGAATATATATATAAAACTATACTATACCTATATTTATCATTTCTTGAGACAGATAGCATCTTCCTTCATGGGTCCTTTGTAGTTAATTTGAGTATTAATAATACTCAAAATGACTTAGTTGCTCAAAGTTCTTCTTAAAACAACCCTGCTGTTATTGTATATAAAATTCTCTTGGTTCCACTCATTTTGCTTTTCATTATTTTGTGCAAGTCTTTCCATGTTTTTCTAAAATCTACCAGCTCATCATTTCATACAGCACAGTAGTATTCCATCACAGTCATATAACACAACTTATTTAGCCATTCTCCAGTTGATGGCTATCTCTGCAGTTTCTGGTTCTTTGCCACCACAAAGAGAGCTGCTATAAATATTTTAGAACATATAGATTCTTTTCCTTTTTGCTTAGTCATCTTGGGAAGCATACCTAATAGTGGTATTACTGGGTTAAAGGCAGTTTAATAACTGTTTGGACATAATTCAAGATTGCTCTCCAAAATGACTGGATTAGTTCACAGTTTCACCAATAGTTAATTAGTGTTCCAATTTTTTCACATCGCCTCCCAATATATCTTTTTTTAAATTTTATTTTCCCCCAATTATATGTTAAGATAATTTAAACTTTTTTTAAAAGTTTCAAGTTCTAAATTCTATCCTTCCCTCCTTCCTTCCCCTACCCCCTCCCTAAGGTAGTAAGCAATATAGATTATGCATGTGTAATTGTGTGAAACATTTCCATATTCATCATTTTGTACAAGGAGATGAATTTTAAAAAAGAATCGAAAAAGAAAGAAAGTGAAAAATAGCATGCTTCAGTCTGTATTCAGATATTATCGGTTCTTTCTCTGGAGGCAGATAGCATGCTTCATCCATCATTAGTCCTTTGGGATTGTCTTGGATCATTGTATTGCTGAGAATAACTAAGTCATTCACAGTTCTTCATCATACAATGTTGCTGTTACTGTGTACAATGTTCTTCTGGTTCTGGTCACTTTACTTTGCATCAGTTCATATAAGTCTTTCCAAGTTTTTCTGAAATAATCCTGCTTGTCATTTCTTATAGCAGAATAATATTCCATTATCATCATATAACACAGCTTGTTTACCCATTCCCCAGTTGGTGGGCATCTCTTCAGTTTCCAATTCTTAGCCACCACAAAAAGAGCTGCTATAAATATTTTTGTACATATAGGTCCTTTTAATTTTTCTCTGCTCTCTTTGGGGTACAAATCTAGTAGTGTCATAGCTGGGTGGAAACGTATGCATAATTTTTAGCCCTTTGGGCATAGTTACAAATTGTTCTCCAGAATGGATGGACCAGTGCACAACTCCACCAACAATGCATTAGTGTACCTATTTTCCCTCATCTTCTCCAGCATTTGTCATTTCTAATAGGTACCTCAGAATTGCTTTGATTTGAATTTCTCTAATCAATATTGACTTAGAGCATTTTTTCTGTGACTATAGATAGCTTTGATTTCTTCTGGATTAAATTATTATTAAAGCTAGTCAATAAATTAATAGCCACTCTGCTTTTGACAGAGAAATTTATAATAGTTTTTTTGATAATTGAAGTCCCTCATTTCTCCTTTAATACATCTCTATATTAGGCCTGAGACTTGCTTGCCAAACTCCTCAACCTTTTCTTCTCTCTGACCACATGATCTATACTATCCTTTGATTACAATAATGGTTTCTGGGTAGGCCTCCATTGATTTTCACCCTACTGGTGAAATCCAGAGCCCCCTCAGGTTCCTCAGTTTCATCACATGAATATACCTTTCTAATATAGTGTCCCAAAAGTCTCAGTGCAGTTTTAAGCTTTAATAGCTTAATAAAGTTTTAATAATTTTGGAAGGTTCTCAGTCACATCTTGAATACTTTCCTGGTGAGATAGCAAGTTGCTCTATTAGTCTTCATGGACCTTAAAGACTGGTTAGAAATGTCACCCAAGGAAGGACATGAATAATTACAAAACAAGGTAGAATGTGATTGTGTGATTATAAAGAGAGTAAGTATCTGGGGTCAATCTGAACTCAGGTCTTCCTGACTCCAAGCTGAGCTGTCTGTGCACTGTGGTGCCACCTAGCAGCTCATAGGACTAGTTTTGCTGGAAAAAATGGAACTCATAGGAGAGTTGTGAAAGAATCAATTCAATGATCCTTTATTAAGCACCTACTGTGTTTAATAGGGCCCTGTGTTAGGCATTAGGGATAAAAAGATGAACTAAGACAGCCCCTGTCCTCAAGAACTTTTACAATCTAATGAAGAAGACAAGAATCATTCACAAGCCAAGATAAGGATGGCAAGGGAGATTGAGGCCAGGGTGAGAAAAACCTTGGATGTTGGCTCATGAGATTATATTTTGTCCTTTGGGCATTGGGGAGCTATTGAAGATTTTGAGCAAAGGTATGAAATGGTCAGAGACCTGCTAGGAAGATTACTCTGTCAGCACATACAGGTTGGGTTGGAGGTAGTCAGGGGAAGTAGGGAAAGACTGATGTCAGATATACCAGTTTAAATAATCTGGCTGGGGAAGAGTTGATGAGGGCCTGTACCAGGCTGGTGGGAGTAGAGAGGAGGGGATGAATTTGAGAGAAACTAAGCAGAACCTGTTTACCCAGGGATAATCAGAAGTGCTCACTGGGGGTAAGTGCATTTCAAATCTGAGGTGGGAAGTGGAGTAAAGCCTTCATGTAGGCAGGGGAGCAGTTAGGAAAGCGCCAAGGCCAAGTGAGCTCTTTGAGCGCATGAGGCCATGTTGTTCTGTAACAGTAAAGCCTTGAGTGCAGCGGTTGCTTGGCTGAATGATAGTATGTACTCTGTTCTGTCCAGCCATTGAGACCTTTGCTGTTGGGGTTGAATGGGTTGGGAGAACAAACAGGTTAGATACAGAGATCATGAGCCATGCTCCAGCTCATGTTCATGTTGTTCTGCTTCTGAGAAGGGTTTCCTCTTTCTTTTTTGTATCAAAAACATTTACCTGATGGGGTCAGCCCAGCTCAGAGGTCAGCACATCCTTATGAGAGAAGATATCCAGTCCAGAATATCAAAGACCAGATCATCTGGAGGAAGTGGGTCCTTGTGAGGAAGGGGACTTGATCCAGCATCTAAGTCTGTGTATGGCCATCTTGTCACTGGCTGGTTCCTTTGGTTTTTGCTTGACCTGACTCACTGCTGCTTGCTTCCAAAGCTTCAGAGTAGACAAGACAAAGCAGCACTTTTGTGATAGCTCTCTCAAGAAGATACCACCACTCTACCCTTTCCCCTACTCCGAGGGACCTTGAGCCTAGGGGTATCACACTAGCTATAGAGGATTTATAAGGTGACACCTAGAACACCCAAAACAACCATCACTCACCTGGTTCACTTATATCACAGTTCTGCTCCCAGGCTTTCAGTACCAGGGGCTTACTGCCACAAATCGATGAATCCGCAAGAATCTACTATGAGCCAGGCATTGGGCTGAGTGCTGGGGAAGTAAATACAAAAAAAGATAGGATCCCTACTTTTTTTTTAATTAAATTTTATTTTTTTAATCAGCAAAAATTTATCCTCTCTCCCTTCCAATCTACCCTCCCAATTTGAGAATGAAAGAAAAATAAACCCCCTGCTACAAATAGTCAAGCAAAGCAAATTTTCACATTGGCTGTGTCTGAAAGGAACATAATTTGTTTTTCCTTGACTATATGTATTTGTAGCAAAGGCTTTGTTTTTCTTTTCATTCTCAGTTGAGGAGAATGGACTGGGAGGGAGAAAGGATAAATTTTTGCTGATAAAATAAATTAATGAATGAGTGATTAAATGAATAAATGTACATGTGTATACTTATGTATATATATATGTTTGTATATATGGGTGTATACTCTATATATACATTTACATCTATATATATATTCTGTATATATGAGTGTGTATATATGCATACATATGTGTGTGTATATTTTTTGTTTCTTTGTTTTTTCTGTACTCTGAGTATCTTACCTTTTCATCAGAAGAGAATTATAGCATGTTTCATTGTCAGTCTTCAGGAATTACATTTGGTCTTTAAGCTTATCAAAGTTCCTAAGTCTTTCAAAATTTTTTGTTTCTGCAATATTTCTATCATTGTATAAATTATTCCCTTGGTTCTGTTCACTTCACTCTCCATCAGTTCATATGAGGCTCCCCAGGTTTCTTTGAAACCATCCCCTTTATCATTTCTTACAGCACAATAGTAATCCATCACATTTATATTTATAACCATAACTTGTTTAGCTATTCCCCAACTTGTAGTCGCTGCCTCAGATTCCAATTCTTTGCCATCTCAAAAAGAGCTATAAATAGTTTTGTACCTCCCTTAGAGTTGTTTTTGCTTAGGACTGATCCCTCCTCTCTACTGCCTCTTTCTCCCTTCTCCCCTTTCCCTCCCATTTCTTTGCTGAGTGAAATTTAGGTCTGTATCCAACTCTGTGTGTGAATTCTTGCCTCATTTGACCATTTCAGATGAGTGAGGTTGAAGTGTCAGCTTCTCCCCCCAACTCCTTTCCTCTTATTTGTATCAATTTCTATCTGTGTACCCCATTTATATGAAATAATTTTCACTAATCTTTCTTTCCCTCCCCCTCACTCAGTGCATTCTTCTTTCTTCCATTTCCATTCTTCTTTTAATATCATCAAGGCATATCAGAACCGTTCTCCAGCCTTCTGTTTAATTAGACTCCATTTGTAACCTCTAATGATAATGGGTTTCAGAGGGGACACATATCTATCCATATTAGAATGTAAGCAGCTTATCCTTATGTAGTCTCTTGTGATAGTTCATTTATGTTTACCTTTTTATGTTTCTCTTAACTCCTGTTTTTGCACTTCAGAGTTTCTGCTCAGCTCTATTCTTTTCAACAGGAATGCTAGAAAAGTTTCTGTTTCATTGAATGTCCATTTTTGGAATATTATATCCTAAGCTCTTCACTTCTTCGTAGTGGTGACTGCTAAATCATGTATTATCCCAACTATGAGCCTGATCTTATCTTCTTGTACTTGAATTCTTTCTTTCTGGCTTTGCAGTACTTTTTCTTTGACCTGGAAGCTTTGGATTTTGGTGACAAAATCCCTGGGAATTTTCATTTTGGGTTTTTTTTTTCAGGAAGTGACCAGTGGATTCTTTATAGTTCTACTTTTCTCTGTTTTGAAGAGGTCTAGGCAGTTTTCTTTTATGATTCTTTAAAATATAGTATCTAGGATCTTTTTTTGGTCATGGTTTTCAAGTAGTTCAATGGTCCTTAATTTTTTTTCTTCTTAATCTACTTCGCAAGTCAGTTGTTTTTGTTATGAGAAACCTCACGTTTTCTTCTATTTCTCCATACCCTGGAATGCTTCCCTTGGGTATAGATTCCCCTCCCCAGTCCACCCTGGATCTGTGACCTGAAACTAGGTAATGAGTGACAAAGCCGCCAGCTGGCACCTGTTCACACACCCTGCACAAGGTCATGATGCCCCAGTATGGGTCTGGGACCTCGTCTTGCCCCAGTGCACAGTCTTGGTCCACTTTCAGGCCCTGGACATTGTGATACTCTTCATGGCATGTTTCTGGCCAGAACCCATCCCCAGTGTCCATAGACCTTACTTTCTGTCTCCCAGTCCTGTGACCTGTGTGGGCAAAATGACTTCCTGTGATTTTTATTCTTGGATTTTGCAATCAGGACTTGGTGTGGTGTGTTTTCTGGATCTGTTTGGAGGAGTTTTGTTGGGGGGAGCTTCCTGTGCTTCCCTTGCTACTCCACCATCATGACCCCCCCAGACCAACAGTGCCCCGAAATAGAACATAATACTCCAGATATGGTCTGACCAGAGTATTGGAGGGATTATTACCTCCCTAGCTCTGGACATTTGGCTTCTCCTAATGCATTTTTAGGATGTTATTAGGTTGTTGTGTTTTTTGTTTTTTTTTTGGCTGCCGTGTCACATTGTTGAGCTAATGAGATAACATATGTAAAACTTGGCCCCAAAGAAGAGATAAGAAATACCTTTGCAATACCTTCTACCTTTGCAAAGGTAGAAGTTCCATGGGTATGGAACATGGCACATAGTAACAGATTTTTTTGATATGTTAATCAATTTTGCTGGGGTTTTCTTCTCATTCTTTTCCTTTCTTTAAAAAAGTCTTTTGTTATAAAGGATGATTCTCTGGAAGAGGGGAAGGGAAGGCTATAAAGGGAAATCTATGCATTGTGAAAACAAAAGTTAGCAATTAAAATGTATTTTTTAAAAAGAAAAAAGAAGCAAGGTTTCCTCCAGAAGTTAGTAGTAATATCTCCAACATTTCCTTGGAAGTTCATTCTTTCAGAGGTTGTTGAGATAGTCAGAAGTCATTTCCCGGACTTTGAAAGGAAACAGGGCTGTAGTTCTTTGGGTTCTAATTCCTTTCATCATGGAATGTTTCTGGCATACAAGCTGTTTTCCTCATGCTCAAAGCAGTTGCTTGCACTGCAATCTTCCCCCAAATCTTCGTTATGGTATAGAAGTGATCCTGGGTTCTGAAAGGCCAGAAAGGCTCTAGCCTGAGGAGGACCAGCCAAGCCAGAGAATACGGTCGTCAGGGATGGATTGTATTTGGCCCAAGGAACTCCCTAAACTGCCTGTCAAAATGTAAAGCCGTGCCAGTCCACCCTGTTGGGAAGAGTCCCTGTATGATAGTGCAGTAGATAGAGTACTGAATTTGGAGCATGGAAGACCTGACTTCACATTCTGCCTCAGATACTTACTGGTCGTGTGACCCAGGGCAAGCCTCAGTTTTCTCATCTGTAAAATGGGGATAATAATAGCACCTCCCTTGTAGGATTCTTGTGAGGATGAACTGAGATAACATATATAAAGCAATTTACAAACCATAAGGCACATTAGAGGTGCTAGCTGTTATCATTTTAAGTAAATAAAAAAATCAGTGGAAGAATTACACTTCTCTGAAAATCAGAGGAAAGCCTAGGAGGACAAGGTTCACCACCATGCTAATGAAAACCAGGTCAGGTGAGTGAGAGGCAGGTTAGGGACAAAGCAAAATGAGGTTTAGGAAAAATTAGATGAGGGCATGGGTTGGAGTGAAGTAGCATCTGAGAAGCTTAGTTGGACACAGGCCACAAATAGTTGCCTTCATTATCTTTGTGGTGTGTCTTTATTTTTCTTTAAGGAAAAGCAGTTTTCCTCGCAAGAGATAAACACCATTTATCAGACATCTGCCACCTGGTCCGTCATGACGTGCCCTACCTGTTCCAGAAATACGTGAAGGAGTCTCACGGAAAGGATATCCGCGTGGTGGTGGTGGGTGGCCACGTCATTGGCTCCATGCTTCGCTGCTCCACGGATGGGAGGATGCAGAGCAACTGTTCCTTAGGTACCACCCCGTAGCCTATCCGTCCCACAGTGAGAATTGACCCCGTCCTCATCACAGAGATGTATTCTCAGTGTTAATCCCTGTATCGTGGCTAGGTCTCGGTCTTGGCACTGGGGCCAGCTGGGGTTGCTCAGGTATTAGGTTTGGGTAGGGATTTTTTTCTGTCCCAGTTTTGGGCTGCATGTGTAGGAGTAAGGTGTGTTTATTTAAATATCCATGACAGAATCCTGCCAGCTGATAAGGGACTGTGCATGGCCAGGGAGCTGTGAAATGTCAGCATGCCAAATTTAGCTGAGGCATTTAGAGCAGCCCACAGCAACCGGTCTTAGATCTGGTCGAACGCCATACCAGTAGAAAGGCATGGCGGCACCCAACTGAAGAGAGAGGGTTACCCTCTTGGAGTTTATTTGACTGGAATTTGACCCAGATCAAGTCATTACCAAGTGAATTAGGTGCTGGCCAGGTCCCTGCTATAGCAGCACTCTTTGAACTGTTAGCATAAATGAGGAATGGGCAGGAAGCCAAATTCTTATCCTGATTTATATCAATCACAGCAATGATGGTCAGTGGCAGGAATCCTGGTGGCTTTCAGAGGCCTCGAATATCATTTCTTTCTATTGACACAATAAACAAGCAAGACAAAACACACGAAAGTCATGATATCTGCCTTTAAAAAGATTTTATTTTACTGATAGTCAATAAACAATACGCAATATGGATGAATACAATGTTCTTTCTTTGTGAAGTAGCATGGTATAGTGGGGAAAGCACCAACCAGGAGTCAAAATAACATTAACAACAACAACAATATTAGCTGACATTTATATGGTAGCTTTAAAGTTTATGTAGGTTACATTTTAGCTTCATGAGAACCCTTTGAAGAAGGTACTATACCATTTTACAGGTGAGAAAACTGAGGATCAAAGCAGTTAAGAGAATTTCCCCAGTCATATATAATAAGTGTTAGAAGTGGGATTTGAACCCACCCCAAGGTCAGCACAATGTCCTCTCTACCACAGTGTGTTCCCAACCAGAAGACTTTGATTCCAGGGTTTGCTAGTTGGGTGACTCGGCAGGTCAACCTCTCCCAGCCTTGGTTTCCTCATTTGTAAATGGAGATAATAATATTTGTAGTAGCTGTCTTGTTGGAAAGTGCCTTGTAAGACCTAAGGTACTATGTAAGTGAGCTATTGTTACTTTTATTTTCTTGGCTTTTAATTGATTGCTTTCCTTTTTCTACACTGTTTTGGGAAGGTCTTGGAAAAAGCAACAGTTTTCAAATTACATCCTAGATTAGTGGGTAACCTTGCTCTATTAATCTTTGGTAGCAGGTAGTAATCATAATAATGATATAATAGCTAACATTCATACAGCACCTACCTATGTGCCGGGCACAGTGCTAAGAACTTTACAATTATTATTTCACTTGATCCTTACAACAACCCAGGGGAGGTAGGTGCTACTATTATTCCCATTTTACAGGTGAGGAAACTGAGGCAAACAGGGACTTGCCCAGGGTCACATGGCTACTAAGTGTCTAAGGCTGGATTTGAACTCAGGTCTTCCTGACTCCAGGCCTCTGCACCATTTAACTACTCAGACTATCTAATAAGGGGACTCAAGGGCGTTTAAGGTAGAGGGTGAATTGCCCCTGTCCTTATCACAGAAGTGCATTCTCAGTATTAAGTAGATTAGTTAGTAATGTGAACAAGTAACTATAATGACTCAGATGTACCAACACCAATACCAAAATACCCTGCAGAGCTCAGCAAGGCACAACCTTGGAGCCTGGGACAATGCCTCATAGCCTAAGATAGGATCCGAACTCAGACTCTGGAAGGACCTCAGAGGGCAGCTGGTCCGACAGAGGAGGAAACCAAGGCCCGGGGGGTGGGGGGTTGATGATTGGCCCAAGGCCATCCAGGTAGTACGCTCCAGAGGAGCCATTCAGGCCCAGCTGGGCGATTCAGACCTATGGCCAGTGGCTCCAGAGCCAATGCTGTTTGCATTGTTTCAGAATAAGAAGTAGTGTGGGTGTGGTAAAAAGAATTAGAGTGAGGACATGAGCTTGAGTCCCATTTCTCCCCCTTACTCTGTGACCTTGACTAGTCACATTAACCCCTCTGAGCTTTACTCTCCTCATTTGCAGTGGGAGAAGGTTGAAGTAGATGATTTCTAAGATACTTTCCAATGCTAAATCTTGCAGGGGGGGGTGGGAATTTTGGGGGATGTTCCATTATTTGGGAGGAATGTGCTATGGAAGCCCCTTTGGGCTTGAGCCCACTTTTTCAGGCTCTGAGTAGGTGTGTAGAGGATAGGGTGTACCCCAGCTCAGGGAGCCACGCTTGCACTTCTCTGCTCACTGTATCTTCTCAGTAGGTATCCCTTTGCTCAGGCTAGACCCCATGCCTGGAATGTTCTCCATTTTTATTTCTGCCCCTTAAAATCACTAATTTCCTTCAAAGCTCAGCCCAGGTACCACTCCTAGGCACAGCCTTTCCTTAAAACCCTACCCTCTAATTGTTACTATCCTCTACCTCCCAAAATGATTTTGTATTTAATAATAACTAATAATAATAGCTAACATTTATACAGTGCTTGAAGGTTTGCCACATTTACCTCATTTGATCCTCACAACAACCCTGGGAGGTAGATGCTTTTATTAGCCCTGTTTTACAAATGAGGAAACTGAAGCAGACAGAGATTCTGACTTGTCTGAGGTCACACAGCTAATGAAGTGTCTGAGGTGGGATTTAAACTCAGATCTTCCTGACTCCAGGCCCAGCATTGTATCCACTGGGCCACCTGACTGTCAGACACACTCCTCTGTGTACTGATTGTAGAATGCAAGTTAAATAGGTTCCTCGAAGGAGACTGATTTTCATTTCTTTTCTTTCCTCTTCTTTTCTGTCCTTTCCTTTTTTTCAACTTAAAATTTTTTTAGTGATAGATTTTGTTTTTACATCACCTTCATTTCTGAGTAGATTCTTCCCCTCCCCCATTCATGGAATCATTCCTTGTAAAAGAATAAAAAAAGAAAGAAAGGAGAGGGCAATCCGGCAAAACCAGCCAGGCAACTGAATCGGGTGGTAAATGGATGCCTTAGTCCACATCCATAGTACCCCACCTCTATAAAGAAGAGAGAGAGAGGAATTGTCTCATCTCTTCTTACAGACCAGTCTCAGTCAATATAATTACTTGGTGGTCAATTTGTATTGGAGGTGGCTGTTCACCTTCCTCTTCTTGCCATTTACGTTGTTGTAGCCATTACACAAGGGCTGATTTTCATTTGTCTTGGTATTCCCATTACCTAGGACAGTGCCTGTGCACTTACTAGGTGCCTAATAAATTTGTTGAATTGAATTGAATTGAATTGAATTGACAGTACCTACCACGGAGGAACTTAGAAGATTATAGGGCCCAAGGCTCAGAACTCTAGTCTGGTTGGAAAGACAGGATAATCTGACAGAAGAGCTTTCTTCTTACTTTTGTTGAGTATTGTGGGGATATGCTGTTATTGTATGTTTAAAATATACTGTAAGAATATGATTAACAGACTTTGGTTAAAGAGTCCAACCCTTTCCCTGAGAATAGCTGAGTGATGAGTTATGGAGGAGAACCAGAGAAAGCAGGTGAAGGTATTAACCTGAGCTGCTGGACTCAGGGTGTGTCAGTTATCCTGATCCATAAGTAAACTGGAGACTAGAGATGGTATTCCCAAGGGCCTCCATAGGCCTCCTAGAAGGGGAACATGGTCTCTAAAACATGGAGAGCCAGAAAATCTGTTTCAGGCTGGCTGAGAAAGCTGGTCCAGAGCTAGGGATCTCTAGGGAAAGATAACCTCTGTCATCTCAAAGCCACACGGCCCTTCAGGAGACTAAATCGAAATGATAGCTTAAGACAGTCAGTCTATAAACATTTATTAAGCACCCACTATATGCCAAGCACTGTGCTGAGTGCTGTGGATTCAGTGAAAAGAAAGAGACAGTCCCTGCCCTCAAGAAGCTTATGGTCTAATGGGGTAAAACATAAAAATAAACTGAAGGGAATAAGCTGGGCTACCAAGTGTAGGGGCATGATGAAGCTTTGTAGCCAAGTGGGAAATGATGAGGAGTCTGCCTAATCCTCCTCCTTCAATAGAAAATCTGGAAGGGACTCTCCAATGTCCACCCTCCTCCCTTTCTAAGTAGAAAGAGGGAGAGGCCCAAGGGCAGAGGGTACTGAGGAGGTAGGTATCAGTTGCAGAATTGATTTGACCTTGTAGGAGAATGAATTTCTGGAGACAATGGTGAGATCTAGGTGAACAGCCACATGGGAATTATACTATTCACCAAATAGTGCAGTCAGCCTTAACAACTAGCCAGTGAGAATGTCTCAAATAAACTTACCAGGAAAGAAAGAAGTGGGCTAGGGCTTGCATCATCAAGACCTCCAGGAGTTAGGAATTGTGGCAACTTCAAGAACAGAGAAGGATGAAATGAAAGCCAGAGGAAGAATATTATAGAAAATTGCCTTCCTCATCTTTGGGTGCCAGGACCCAGAGCAAGACTGCCAGGAGCCTAAAGAGAGGCTGTGGGTTGGACATAGGGGGTCCAAGCTGAATAAAGGACTAGGAAATGGGCCCTGGAAGGAACTGAGAATGTCGCCTGTTCTGGGGGTGGAGTCCCCTTCTCTCCTGCCCCAAACTACCTCAGACTACAAGTTTGAAAATCTTGGTTGACTCCCCCGGCCCAGAACAATTCAGAAGCCTTTCTTTGGCAGCATCCATCCTTGAGGTTACACCTCAATCCGTATTGTTGGTATACTATCTTTTTGTATATTTGTGGCCCCCTGGGTGTTTCCTTTTTGAAACTTTCAGGATGCTTGTGGATTTCCTAGGGTATGCAGTATATATCCCCAGTGACCCATGGAGACTATATTGACTTTAACAGTCTGGGGAAATCAGGAACCCTGAAGTGTGGGAGCAGGAGCAAACAATAAGTGGGAAGAATTTAGAGGAGGCAAGGGCAGGGCTGGAGGTGGACATTGGTCTCTTCCCACCACCTGTTCGTCCCCTCAGTCATCCCTACATTAGTACACAAAGTAGCACATACATGCCAAATAAATGATACAGACCATAAGCCCCATAGGAGCTTAAAGGAAAGATTACAGTAGGTTGGGTCAATCAGTGATTTTATAGAAGAGATTTGTAAGGACCTGTCGCCCAGCAGGCCCACCAGCTGAGGCAGGAGGAGGCTTGGAGATCCATGTTGGCACATGAACAGTAGTCCCCAGGGGCAGGGAACATCAACCTCTGCAGTAAAAAGACTGAACTTGGCACTCCCTGAACTTGTGTAGGCTGACCTGGCGGCTGGCCTTCCTGCAGGACTCAGCCCTGAGATCTTGGCCTTCTGTAGACACCGTAGTGCAGAACCAGGCCTGTTATTGTTTATCCTCACTCTTCTCCCACCTTAGTCCCTTCTTCACTCAGGCAGGGATTGCCTTTCCCCCCAAGCAGTGGGGAGGAGGGTGGGGAGGGGAGATTGGCCCTAACATTTCTTATTCCTGCCTTTAGCAGAATATGACAAGTTCTAGAAAAGCGCAGGGGTAAGAAGGGCATTTCAGGAAGGGGCGACTAAGCACTTGATCATAGATCCACCCTTCTCATCTCTGTGTCTTGGCTCCCCTGGCTTCCTTCAAGTCCCAGCTAAAATCTCACCTTCTACAGGAAGTCTTTTCTGATCCCCTTTAATTTTGCTGATTATTTCAAATTTATCCTGTCTGTAGCTTGTCTGTCATTGTGTACATGTTGTTTCCCCCATTTGATTGTGAGCACCTTGAGAGCAGGAACTGTCTTTTGCCTTTCTATGTGTCCCTGCTGTAAGCACAGTGTGGGTGCCTAATTAATATTTGTTGACTGACATCCAGTCCACATTTTCTGAATAAGCATCACCTCTATAACCTAACAAACAAGTGGACATATGGTTTTTGTTTGAAGACCTTCAATAAGGGGTAACCTGCCTACCTACCTACTTACCTACCTCCAAGTGCAGCCTCTTTTCTTTTGTAAGCAAGTTTTTTTCTTGACCTTCAGCCTAAATTTACTCCATTTGAAGCATCTACCCGTTGCTCCAGTTCTTTTGTCTGGGACCAAACAAAATTGATCTAATCCCTTTCCACAGCACCGCCCTTCAAACGCTTGGAGATTTAAGCCAAGGCAGAGATGGGTTGAGCCACCCTTGGTTCTAAGTTTGGATGTAGGATGTACCCTTAGTCTACCCATCTTTAAAATAAGAAAATTATCCTCAGGCAGAGATGTTTTTAAATGAAACATTCAGAAGTGAACCATTTCGGGTTCCAAAATAGGAAATTATCTTCTGCATCCTTGGTAATTAAAAATGGTATTTGGAGCTCACCCTTTATATCATAGCCACATCCTGTAACTGTTGGTTAGAATTAGACCTGGCCACGCTGTCCCTGCACTGTGCCCACGTGGAGGCCTGTGGGACATGGTTTTGCCTCTTAAATCATCAAGTAGAATTCATTTTTTTGTACTAGTGCCCAGACACTTGTACAGTTTTGCCATGTCACTTACCTTGGTATGATCCTTCAAACTGACAAGAGAGTAAGCCCCTCTAGGACTGTTAGGTCAGGAAAAGACTTTGTTGGGCTTGAGGCAGCAGCTCATGGGCCTCAGAATTTGAAGATTTTTAAGAGTATTAGTAGACCCAGCCCTCTTGAAATCCTGCTCTGAGGTTGGACAATGGGTTCTTGAGAGCTATGCTGGTGATCAACCAAGCTGGAGAATCATCATCATCATCATCATCATCATCATCATAATTATATTGATCATAATGATTATAATAATAATGTTAGCTAGCATTTATATATCACAAAGAATTATAAAGTATTTCACAAAGATCTCATTTTATCCTAACCACATCCCTGGGAGGTAGGTGCTATTATTATCTCCTTTTTATAGATAAAGAAACTGAGGCAGATTTGCCTCAGGTTACTAAGCGAGTGAATGTCTGAAGCCAGATTTGGACTCACATCTCTAACTCTAGGTCTAGTATTCTGTTTACTAATCTACCTATCCGCCTCTTGAAAAGCTCCCAGTTCAAGGCCAGGAATGTCGATCTCTCTCTCTCTCTCTCTCTCTCTCTCTCTGTTTATGTCTTTCTCTCTCTCTCTCTGTTTATGTCTTTCTCTCTCTCTCTCTCTCTCTCTCTCTCTCTCACTCTCTCTCTCTCTCTCTCTCCCCCCTTCCTCTCTCCCTCTCCCTCTCTCTCTGTCTCCTATATATCTTGCATGTATATCTCCCTATGTTCATCTCTATCTCTGCTTACTCCCAAGAGAATTTAATATATGTGAAGGCAGAAATTTTTTGCTTTTTCTTTGTACACCAAGCATATAGCACAGCGATTCACACTTAATTGGTAATTAACAAATGCTTGTTCATGGACTGATTGAGGACGAACGGGGCTAAGTGCAGAGGGGCTCCTCATGAGGGGTTGTCCACTGAGTGATCTCTTCAGGTGTAGAGCAGCTCATTGCCTACTGATGCATGGAGGGGTTGAGATCAGTGTCGGGAAAAGGTATACTCACATGGATAAAATCACATATCTTTTTTTTTTTTTTTTGTGAGGCAACTGGGGTTAAGAGACTTGCCCAGAGTCACACAGCTAGGAAATATTATGTGTCTGAAGCTGGATTTGAACTGAGGTCTTTGTGACTTTAGGCTGGTACTCTATCCCCTGCGCCACCTAGCTGCCCCAAAATCACATATCTTTTGAAGTATTAGGTGAAAAGTATTAGGCTGGACTTGGGGTCAGAGGGCCTGGGTTCAAATCCTGGCTCAGCTACTTAGTACCAGTGTGACTTGGCCCAAGTCACTTTACCTCTCTAGGCCTCAGTTTCCTTATCTGTAAAATAAGGGGGTTGGGCTAGGTGGCCTCTAAGATTCCTTCCAGCTCGAGATCTGTGTTGCCATGGTAACGAGCTTCACTTGAGCCAGCAAACAGCCCTTAAGGGTCCTGTGCCTTCCCCCTTCATAGGCCTATGGCTTTCTGCCATGCCAGAATTTCATCCATCTCTGTCTCTCTCCATCTGTCTCCATAAAGAGGTCACTTCCTTGTGTTTGGAAATGGCATTTGTCAGTGTTATCATTTATGTCAATGTGCTTCCTTTGCAGGTGGCGTGGGTGTCATGTGTCCACTCACTGAGCAAGGCAAACAGCTGGCCATTCAAGTGTCCAACATCTTGGGCATGGATTTCTGTGGCATCGACCTCCTCATCATGGATGATGGCTCCTTTGTGGTGTGTGAGGCAAATGCCAACGTGGGCTTTGTTGCATTTGACCAGGCGTGCAACCTGGATGTGGGCGGGATCATCGCTGATTACACTATGTCCCTGCTCCCCAGCAGGCTGACCTCGAAGATGGCCCTTCTCCCAGGAGTGTCCAGCACTGGTGAGAAGAGCGAGCCTGAAGCATGTGCTTCTGCCCAGGCCGGCCCAGAAAACATTTACATCACCAACGGCGGCTCTACATCCAGTGAGAGTGAACCAGAGCTGGGAGAAATCAGGGATTCTTTGGCAAACACGGCCAGGGCCCAACCCCCTTCACTGCCAGGCCCCAGCTACAATATTAACAACATGATTGCCTCTGAATTAAAACTTAAATGAATTCAGCTTTTGAATATCATTTAAACCAAATCCTGCTGCTTCCCTGATAGTTTTGAACGAATAAGATCTTGACTAATGTGTGTTCATTTGCACAGAAAATAGGAATTCCATCTGGGCACTTACTCACTTTACGGTATTCTTTCTAACGATGATTTAAGAAAATTGCTTGGCTTTGTGGTTTGTCCAAAGACTAAAGAATGCTCCCTGAGAATAACATCCCAGCTGATGAAGTGGAGCTCGGTGCCTGTGTTATGGACACTTGGCTATAAAGTACTAGCAGCCGACTGCCAGGCATTGAATCTCTATGCCGCTGTAGTCTGCATGTTTCCATCTTACAACAACAGAGTCCAGTCATTCAGAGCCGCTTGTAGAGAGAATATTTGAAAGCTTCCAAGAGATCAGGGCAACCGCCAGCCAGGAGCTGTGGAATCCAGATGCGATAATGAGCTCTCTTCTGTTAATGGCCATTCAATGCTTCCAGCAGCGCCATGCTGGAGAACCCATGCCTGCTTCCCACCGACCAACATCTTGGCTTTATTGAGACCTGCCTCTCTGTCACTTAGGATTCAGTGATTTGGGAGTGTCTCCATTAGCGCCTTCAAAGAAGCGCTTCCTAAAAAGAGGAATTTCATCTCTTCTGGGCCTCTTGTCCATTAGGACAAGGGAACGCACGCTGATCTGTAAATAGAGCCTGTCTTACAAAGTGCTTTGTTGTCTCCATCGCAAGATGGAAAGATATGCTTTAGCAGGTGCCCTGGCCCCAGTCCCAATCTACTCTTCCTGTTCTCTCCTCCCTCTGCCTTTTGGTTTCAGTTGGACATGCATTTCATTGAGCCAGGGGACGTACCCTTTCTTTTCTGGAGGAGATAATCAACCCTTCCTCATGTGGGATTTGTGCTCCCTGGAATTGTGCGTGTTAAGCGAAATCCATTTGATGGATAATGTAGCTGATGCCTGGAGAATAAGCCTCGCTCCCATGTGGAAGAATCTATAATTTGGTGTGGTGTGGGTGGGTCGAAGGTGTGCCTGTTGGGCTTGGTACTTATGTGGGTTTGGCTCTGTGGAATTATAAAGGGGCAGAGCAATTGGAAACACACCAACCCTGTGGGACATTCTGAAGTCCAACATAACCCCAGAAATCTGAATTTATGTACCTCTTGAAATGAGGGAGAATTACCCTTCAGAAATCACTATACATCTTGTTTTTATTTTTGTTTTTTGGCTAACGTGGGCATACCCTGTGCTTTTCATTCCAACTGTCTGTGCAGTAGGTTATGAACATCTCTATGGGAAAGACTCATTGAGATAGATAGTTGAGATTCTGATAATATAGGAAATGTCTGTTAACTAGTGACATTTTAGAAAAAAAAAAAAAAAGCATACCACAATTCCCACATCCAAGTGAGTATTGTCCCCTTCAAAGCCTCACCTTGTGGGGCAGCTAGGTGGCACAGTGGATAGAGCACCGGCCCTGAAGTCAGGAGGACCTGAGTTCAAATCTGGCCTCAGACCAAACACTTGACACTCACTAGCTGTGTGACTCTGGGCAAGTCACTTAACCCCAATTGCCTAAAAACAAAACAATACAAAAACAAACAAAGCCTCATCTTAGGAGAGTATACCTTTATTCCTGCAAAGCTTTGAGAACTGAATTTAGACCCAACTGATAAGCTCCAAAAGAAAACCAGTGATACTTTATAGTTACCTTTTATTATAGGGGCTCATATTTTGTTCCCAGTTTTAGCTTAAGATCACTTTTGACTATTTCTAGAAATCAGAATTACCTTCCAATTGTTGGGGATGAAAAAAAAAATTGTGTCACAAACATTGAAGTACATTCCTAAAGATGAAGAGGGGCAAGGGACAGGGGAAATTATTTGAGCAGTGACAGCTTTGGTAGAGCAAATCTACAGCCTTCCGATGGTGATTGCTTTAGTGAGAACCACACCCACCCATATGTACAGGATTTGGTCTGAATAAAGAAATCATTCACCTTAACTTACAGCCTCATACTAATTTAACATAACTGACTGTAAAAAACTGTATAAAATAACAGTACAGCAATTTTCACAACATAATTTAAAATAGGATTTGTCTAAGAACACTGTGATGGAAAACAATTCTATAATTTGGGAGAGTTGAATACTCCAAGGCCAGAGCTCTATCCACTGTGCCATCTAGCTGCCCCCTTTTTTTTGGTTGGTCCTGCTGATGATTTTTCCTCGATTGAAATTGACCTAAGTCACATGTCCTACAGCCAAGATATCTCTGGAGCTGTGTAGAGGAATTTCGCCATGCACAGAGTATATTTTATACCTAGCCTAAGGTAGCTCAGATATCACCAAACAATGTATTTGTGACTACATATCTGGTTTAGTTTGGTGGTGGGAAGGGAATGATAGTATTTCACTTTTATGTGGGTTATGACACCTTTTACCACTCAGGGGAGATTAGGCAGTGTATGAGTTTGCTTCTGTATTCACTGAAGTTGACTAAATGCTTTCTTTGTGTCTGAATGTCTGCTGGAGCCAAGTGAAGCCCTTGTGGAAATTGCTTTTGTTCTTTAGCTCTTTAAGAACCTGCCCCTCCACACATACACCCCCTGGGGCACTTTTCTGGGCACAAGCTCTCTTACCCCAAGAAAAGATCCTTCCCTGTCTATGAGCATCCCCCGTCCAGGAGTAGGCACAGCAGGTTATAGGGGTGAGGAGTATAGAATCTCTGCTTGCTTATGCCCACCAGCTTTGCCTGAATCATGCTTTGCCTACCTTCTCCTCCCACTTAAAATCCCCTGGCAGTAGCCAGTGTGACTCAGTAGGAAAAAACCCCATACTTGAGGTTGGACAAACTAGTTTGTTTCCGTTTCTAAATTAGTCATTGATTAGCTGAATGATCTTGGGCAAGCCACTTAAACTTTGTGCCTCAGTTTTTCCATCAGTAAAATGGGGGAAAATACCCTGCCCTAACTACCTTGCAGGATTGCTGTGAGGGGAAAATCAGTTGCTAGATGTGAACTATAATTTGAAAATTGCATTGCAAGAGGTGGAAGGAGGAAGGAGGAGCATGTCTTCTTCCTTTCGTGACTGCAAGATGGGACTCCCCAACACCCATCCCCCTTCAGGAACTTCAGGAGGAAAGAGGCCAATAGATTTCTATTTTTGCATCCTGGGCAGCATGAGAATGCAACTTCTCAGCACCTTCAGTTCCAGCCTGGAAAGCCTGCAGGGACCATCTGAGTGTGACAACAGCCTTAGAGCTGATTCCCTTGTTCTTCCAATGAAGGATGTCTTCCCTACATGACATACGTGTCCATCTCTGTGTAATGCTTCTTTTTATTTGGTAGGAGTATCTTGAAACTGGTGAAAACTTGAATGCCACTAGCTGAGTCACTGTGAATATCTTTTGTTTTGCACTGATGAAAAAAAAAATTCCTTGTATCTGTATATGTGTGTGTTAGGGCTTGCAAAGGTAGCTGAAACTCTGGCTTTTAGCTTTAGATCTTTGAGAAGCCTGATAAGCAATACAAGTGAGTCCCAAGCCATGTGGGGGCCACACACTCAGACAGATCTCTCACCCACCTATAAGGGAATCCCATAACAGGAGAGACCCTCCCCCCGCCAAAAAAAGAATGAATTTGTTAAAGGCAGCATTTGAAAGAAATGTGGCTAGGGAGCATAGGTATTGTTTCCCTAGGAAAATAAGGAAATGGGATGATGTGTGTCATTTTAATGGAAGAAATAAGTCTTCGGGGTGGTGTTTATCATTTTAGTGAGAGAATAAGAAAAGAGGATGGCAATCCTTTTAACTAAATCCACTCAGAGGTAGGAGGAATAGGACCTCATTCTTTCATTTCAAGGACTGATTAAGGTTTTAGAAATGCTCCCCTCCATTAAATGCATATCACAGATGAAACTAATCAACTTGACTAAGAATTATAGTTATTTCAACACCTCATAGCCTTGTATTAGGCAAGAGGCAGAATACCTTCCCTTTGTAGGCCCCCAAACCTTAGACACCCATGGCTAGCTAAAAGGAACCAAACAGAAGGTTATCGATAGTAACCTTGATTAAATTAGTAGTCAAGTCATCCCCAACTGCTGCTATGGGATAATTCCTAGAATGTGCAGGTATGTCTGGAGTGATCAGTGTTGACCAGCTGTCTTTACTACCCTGGCATCTATTGGAGCATCCTTTGATTTTGGACTGTAAGCCACTCTTTCCAGAGCCTGGTGCTGGTTTTGGAGATCTACTTGTTAAAAAAGACTGGTCCAGGGGCAGCTAGGTGGCGCAGTGGATAGAGCTCCAGCCTTGGAGTCAGGAGGATCTGAGTTCAAATCTGGCCTCAGACACATAATACTTACTAGCTGTGTGACCCTGGGCAAGTCACTTAACCCCATTGCCTAACCAAAAAAAAAAAAAAAGACTGGTCCAGACCACTGTTTATTGTATGGCAATCTGCTACAGTAGATAGAGCACCAGACTGGAAATGAGAAGAACTGAGGTCTAATTCTGGCTCTTCTACTGATTTGAACATGTTGCTTCACCCTCAGAGCCTCAGCTTCTTTATCTGTAAACTGAAGAGCTCAGACTAAAAGATCCCTTTCAGCTCTAACATTGTGACTTCATGATCTCATTCCACTTCCTAGTTTCTAGTCTCTGCAGTCAGTAGCTAGGTACAAATTGCCCCTCATCACTGGAAGTCTTTCCAGGTAGAGGCTGGATGTCTACTTGTGAGTGATATGATAGGGATTCCTGTGCAGATGAACTGAACTAAATGACCTTTGAGATCCTTTCCAGCTCAGAGACTTTATGATTCTATGAACTCGAATGGAAAGAAATTGATAATAGCAGCTGGCATTAGCCTAGTCCCATCTCCTCTTCAAGCCTTAGTTTCTTCATCTGCTATGTTGTTGTTCATTTGTTTAAGTCATGTCTAACTCTTTGTGACTCCATTTGGGGTTTTCTTGGCAAAGATACTGGAATGGTTTGTCATTTCTCCGTCTAGATCATTTTACAGATGAAGAAACTGAGGCAAACGGGGTGAAGTGACTTGCCCAGGATCACACAGCTAGTAAGTGTCTGAGGCCGACTTTGAACTCAGGAAAATGAGTCTTCCTAACTCTATGCCTGGTATTCTGTGCACTATGGCACCACCAAGCTGCCCTACTAGGGGATTTTGACTAGGTGAGCTTTCTGACATTCTATGATAGCTTTATTGGTTACAAAACACTTTCCTTCCATTTTCTTACTTGAAACTCACAATACAGGTATTATATCATCCCCATTTTATAAATGAGGAAACTTGCTTAGAGGTAATTAACTTGACCAGAGTTATATGGATCACTAAAGGCAAAGCCATCACTAAAGGCAAAGCCAAGACTCAATCCCTTGTATTCTGACCCCAAGTTTGGAGCTACTATTCTTTCTACCACATACAGTTATCTCTGAGCTCTCCAGGATCAGTATAAACAGGCTCCCTCCTGGCCTCAGGGCCCAGAGGAAGGCACTGGCGGGATGGCAGGATGACAATTGGGCTTGCTTGGGTGGAAGAAGGAGAGAGAGTGTGAAAAAAGGGGCTTTTGAAGGAGTCCAGGCTGACCCAGAAGGAAAGAGGAGAGATGGTGGTGGTAGACTTGGAAGAAACAGGCAAACCATGAAGCACCTATTACTTGCCTCCTTTGTCCATGGCACAATGGTAAAGGTTAGAACTGTCCTTACCCTCAAGGGGCTGACATTCTACTTGACTTCTACTCCCCAGAGTTGTTTAAGAGTAGAAAAGAGACTGGCCAACAACCTGATGTGGAGTTATTTGGCACCTAATTTATTTTGCAGTTTCGTGTGTTATGATTTATTGATTTGGGGTGAGAATTGAATGGGAAATGCCATAATCTCAAACATGTAAGATAGGTGATGGAATAGGGGAACCACAAGCTGGTCTTAAATTCCATTCTACAAACATGTAAAATGTGTACTATATACATGGACCTTTACTTGACATTGGGGGCATATAATGGTAATTACAACACAGCCTCTCTTCTCAAGGATCATACAGTGTCATGGGAGCTGGGGGGAGGAGGTGGGTTGGAGAGAAAGGGACCAGGAAATAAATAACTATGGTACAAGGGAGTGTAAGATAAATGCAATGGAGAGGGCCAAAGAGGAAACATTTGAGAGGCAGGATTACTTTCAGCTAGAAGAAAAGGATTTCTGTGAAGATATGGCATCTGAGTTGGTCCTTAAAAGCAGGGAGGATTTCAATAAGCAAGTCCATTATAGGCATATTCTGTGTCAGCAAAGGCAGAATGCCTGGAATGCACCCTCTCCTCACCTCCACCTCTTGGAATCTCTGGTTTCCTTCAAGACTTAGCTCACCTCACCTACGTTTTCCTGGTGCCCCTAGCTACTAGTGCCACCTCTCCCCTTTATTCATTTTGTGTGTATTTGGAATATATTTATATATTGGAAGACTGCAGGACTATATATGCACATCTACCCCATAACGTTTAAGATCTTTGAAAGCAAAGACTTTCTTAGTGTCTGAATATAATAGACACTTCATAATTGATTGAATGAGAACAAATCATGGAGAATAGGCCAGTCTGGAATATGTGAAGGTGAATATTACAGACATCAAATGTCATTGTTGGTGGGCATTGGAGAGCCGCCACAGACCTTAGGTAGAAAGTGAAATGGTCAGAGAGGTGCATTAGAGTACATGCCAATTTAAAAATAGTAATAACACATGGCATCTGATAATGCCTCATCATACCCCTACATGATAGGGTGAATAATTTCCTGAGGGATGGAGAGCTCTGGGCCTGTCTTATGGGTTCCTATATGATGAAAGGTAGTAAAGTGAGGGAGTAAAGTTGGGAGAGGAGATGGACTTTGCTGACCCAGGAACATGTATGTAGGAATGTTGTTGGGCCAGGAGGTAGTAACAGTAGTAATCAGTATGAGGAGTGTGGCTAGACTGAAGGTGCCACTGGAGTTTCAGCTTAGCCTTGAGATTGATTTTTGGCCTTTCCTGAGTTCCAGGGCTGGCCAGTTATGAGGGGAGTACATCGGCAAACTCGTGAGAGGCTCATTTATGTGGTCATGGAGCAGATTGGCCAGTATTCTCTTTCCCAATCTGGTGTCAGTTTCCCTTGGGTATTTATGGCACAGGGAGTTGGCAGGGCTGAGGGGATTTCCCAGTGAGCGGTGCAATTGTGACATCTTGTGTTCTGATGCTCACTAGACTCAAAATTGACTTGGTGGTGGAATAGGCATGGCTCTGATTCATCAGTTACATGTTCACTGAGATTACCATTATAAAGAAAATTAATATTTGAGAATTTAACCAGGCAATTTTTGTTCTTCAAAGAAAAGCATAAAACCGTTACGTAGACAAGATAACCAATTCCCTTCACTCTTGATTATCCACCATTCTAATTATGAGCCAATATTCTTTCAAAATCCTGCCCCTTCACATTGCTCAGAGACCAGACCATGGACAAAGAAAGCATGAGTCTGAGTCAACTCCAATTCATAAAGCAGATCTGTCATCAAAAGTCATAGTGCTTTCTGTAACCTAATACCATCAACGTGAGAACACAAAGATCTTGGTCCTGATCTGTCATTAACTCTGTGACTTTAGGTAGGTCACACCTCCTTCATGTGCTTCAGTTTTCCTGTCTGTAAAATTATGGGGTGGTACTAGTGGTTTTCTAGTTTCCCTTCAGCTTTGACATTCAGTGACTGTGATTTTAAACTATCTCCTTGTTTGGATCACCCACTCTCTTCTTTGCCATTGCCTTCCTTTCCTTTCCCAGAATTCAGCTTATGTGAGGGAAGTTACCTATTCCACCTTCTAACCCAGAGACAAGGATGAAATCAGGAAAGCTGAGAGAGCAGCACTAGAGGCCCTGGGGAAAAGTGTCTCAGGATCACTCAGGTATAACTCTGGCCAATCTCAAGCCCAAGGTTCTAATATTAGTTGGCACCCACTTAATCCATGTTTATTATGACTTGAGATCCAGGGAGAAAGGGATGGATGAGAAGAGGGAAATAGAGAATATTGCGGGGAAATCTCCATTCTGCCTGGCTGGCTGCAAACTGGGTTCTAAGGCTCCTTTATTTTATCAGAAGGCTTTCTGGTATTCACAAGGAGAGCTGGGGCTCCTTATGGAATCAGTCATATTTTCTATATTGCAAACCCATGATATTATTTGAAGTCCCTGTCTAGGCCACTGTATGACTGGAAGCAGGAAGCCATTTGTCAGAGGGTGACCAAGCAATCTCTGGGGCTTGTCAAGTCCTGAATGACCACGGCTGTGGTCCCCAAGTCTAAGGTGCCTACAGGACTGAATGTGATTAGGCACACATGGTGATGGTGAGGCTCAGACTCAGGAAAGCAGCACACAAGGCCAATCTGGCAGAGGCATGTTCTAGTCCATTATGCAATTTTTATATATGCAACTTGAAGCAAAGAATAACACTGGAAACTCATGTGCTTCCCTTCCTGTTTCTGAAAACTTCAGGTTTTTCATATCTGGGGGAAATCTTAGTTTTGAATCTCAGTTTCTGAACCTACTGAGAAAAGCAACTCGAAGAGTCCAACCTGGGGGCTATACTACAGTTGAGTTCTCCTTAGGAAAGTTTGAATTTTTGCTATGGAAATACAAGCTGAGGAATATGTTTTACCTGGACACTAGAATATCTAATTTCCAAATGGCTTATGCAGCAATAACTCGGTTAACTTCCTTGCAGAGATCAGTTACAAATGATGGCTTGTTTTTTGTTGCTTTTTATTAAAACCACTGCTATGAAACACAACTTTTGTTTTGTCTTTGTTGCCAAAGATGTAGCTGTCTTTCTGTTGCTATTTTTAAATGAGCCTCATAAGCCAAATCTACACTTATTATTCTTGTGTCACAAGAAGGGGGGAATGCCAAGCAAACTCATGTTTGATGAGTTGCATACCAGCTGCTCTTTGAAAAACAATCATTTTCCATTCAGAACATGGGTGCACAAGGAATTCAAATAGTCAGCTTTCAATTATCTGAACTAATGAAGATGGGGGAGCATCATTCAAATGATAAGAAATAGCCAATGATGACCTGCTCAGGGTCCAGCTCCAGAAGATCATTAAAGATAGGGATATCACAAGAGGGGCCAGTGACAATCTCTGGATGGTATGGTGGTAAGTCCCAGAATTTCCCTTTGTCTACTTGAAAGACTGGTCCAGTAGTGGTCCCCTTTCAATTTCTCTTTCGTACCAGGGGTGATAGTAGAAGTAAGATGCAGACTTTTGATTGATGAGTGTTCCTGGTCTACATGGGAAAACCTGCCCAAGGGGCATAAGTGGATAGGAGATAAGGACATTAGACTAGCTAAGCAGTGATGGAGAGCTCATTACTGGTCCATAATGTGAATAAACTGTACAAAGACAATCATAACCCAGTGGTCACAAAATGGTAGAAAGATGGTACCATGGATGCAAAAGAAACCTTTTATCAAAGAAATTGGGACTGCAAAGATATAGATGGATTGGATACAGTCTGTGAGCTGGCCCATTGGTTTCCCCATTGTCCCTTTTGCTTGTTCTTCCCTCCTTTAGCTAGATTTGAGCCATTGTCCTTGTTTAACCCTTGGAAACAACAGGAGCTACTTTAGCCACCACCACTAACTTTGTTTCTTTAGCAAAGTCATAGGAAGGAACAGATTCTAGAATGTAACGAGGTCAGTTGGAGAGAATGGCATTCTCCCGAAGTTAGCTTTTCATGTCCCTACATTTGAATACAAGGTGGGAGGTTGAAGGCTCTTCTTTCTTGAAGCTTTTCCTTCTGATTCTCAAGTGCCTTCTGGCTCTAACTGAAGTCATAGGGTCACAGGATTTAGAGCGAGGAAAAGGGCCTTAAAGATTTAATGTGGTCTCTTTGTTGTTCTTGCCCAAGGTCACAGTGAGTAGTGGCAAAGCTAAGGATGGCACCCTGGTCCCCTGTCTCCCAGTCCAGAGTTTATTCTGTTGTATTGTACTAAGCTACTCTACAACATCCCTGGCTGAATTAGTGAATTAAAACTTTAAAGTTCTCGACACTTGCTGCCCAAACAGTCCTCTCTTTACTCTTGAGTCAATGATCAATCAATCCATATTTATTGAGTGCCAATCACATTTAAGGCACTGCAGGGATGCAAATACGTGAAAAGACACAAGTCCCTAATCCTTGTATGCTCTTGGAAAGCTATATGTAAAGTGGAAATTTGGGTTGATTTTCATCATTCTTGTACTTTGAGGTTTTTGGTTAGACAGGGTGTGAAGAACCTTCAGCCTCGAGGCCACATGTGGCCCTCTAGGTCCAATCTGGAACGGATTGGAATTCAAATTTCAAAGGGCTGCACTTGAGGACCTACAGGGCCACATGTGGCCTCGAGGCTGCAGGTTCCCCACCCCAGTTAGAGGATAATTTTTTGCATGGATCACCAACACTGTGAATGCACCTGTGGCTCTTAGCTGTGGATCACTGACATGTAAGAAACAAGGCACACTGTAGGACCTGACAGTCAAGCGGTGTTGGGAATGGTAATGCTTTAACAGAAAGTTAAACCTTAAGTCAAAACAAAATCCCTGAAATTGTGATGGCGGTCATTATCAGGGATTTATTTAGCTCAGAGAGCAGCATCACAACTCAGAAGCCTCACAAGTATTTCCATCCAACCCCCATCCATGCAGAACGTCTCCACGATATCCCTGACTGGTGGTCATCCAATGTCTGCGTTGGTGCCTCCCAGTACAAGGAAGCCCATAGAGAAGGGAGAGTCTCTGCAGAGCCTCTGAAGTATTTCTGAGCTCAGGTCTGGAGCTTACAGAGCTGAGATAGCAACTGGTCAGGGACTTGTCACGAACCCATAAAACGTGTATGGGGGACAATGCTAGCAATGGAATAATGACAACACATTTGTCATCATCAGTACTTTAAGGTTTACCAATCACTTCCCTCATGATACCTCTCTCTCATACCCCCAGAAGAACTTCCCATTTTATAGATGAAAAAACTGAGGCCCAGAGAAGTTAGTGACTTGCCTGAATCATACACCTAGTAAATGTCAAAGGCAAACCATTTCCCTAATTTATTGGTTGCATTAAATTGAAACTGTGCTCACATTAATGCACAAAATGAGGTATAGCTAGGGGTGTACCCCTAGTCTAATGCCCTAATTTCCTATGATAATGGAGTTTACATAAGAAAAAGCATGAAAACAAAAGCATAACAATGTGCCAATATCCTGACATCCTGTCACACAAATCAAGGTGTGGTAGGATTTCTACACCCTCTGCACAAAGTCCAACTTTCCTCATAATGGGCATTGTGAAGACCCATTTGGCAAGGGTAAGATTTCAAAGCTGAACCCCCTGGGCTGAAACTGCAGCTGTAATATAACATGTTATTAGCCCATCTGTAGCATCCATTCCTGTTGCTCTAATGGCCCTGGTTCAGGAAGAACTTGGACGCCTTTGAGATCACTGGGTTTTTGGAAGCAATGAGGCCTAGCAGCTCTTGAAGGGCTTTGGATTCATCTTCTTTATCAGGCAGCTCTTTAGATAAAATGTAAGCTTTCGCAGCAAGTTCATGAGCCTGAAATGAAATGGAGAAAAATGAAAGAAAATTGTCACAGGACTAGATGAGCCTGTTAGATTGTAAGCTCCTTGAGGGCAAGGAACTCTTTGTATTGCTAATGCTTAGGATAGTTCCTGGCACATAGTAGGCACTTAATAAATGTTTATTGAATTGATGAGATAGAGAGGGGGACAGGATCATAGCTGTAGAGCGGGGAAGTATTTACGGACTGTCTAGACCACCCTCTCACTTTACAAAAGGAAAATGGTCCAGAGAGGAAAGGACAGACAAGGTCACAGAGCCAGAGCCTGAACCCATGTGCCCTTACCCTTCGATCTGCTCCATCTCTAACCTGGGCCATCTCATCCCTCCTTACTCAGCCTGGTGGTCCCCAGGGGCTCACCATTCTATATCAATGTTGGACTTTAGTCCCTTTTCGATTCAGACCTCCTAAACTCAAATGATCCACCAGCCTCAGCCTGACCCAGCAGTAGCCACAACAGGGTGAACCACTCTTTTTTTAAAAATTTATTTATTTTTCCTTTTCAACATTCACTTCCACAAGATTTTGAATTCCAAATTTTCTCCCCATCTCCCCCCTCCTTCCACTCCAAGACAGTGTGCAATCTGATATAGGCTCTACATATACATTCATATTGAACCTATTTTCACATTAGTCATGTTGTACAGAATTAGAAGCAATGGGAGAAACCATGAGAAAGAAGAAACAAAAAAAAGAAAGAAAAAGAAAAAGAGAGAGCAAATAGTATGCTTTGATCTGTTTTCAGACTCCATAGTTCTAACTCCTTCCCAGCCAAAGCACTTCCCATTTGTTCTAGTATCTGATTTTGTGATTTTCCAGCCTCCCTTGAAGGTGAAATATCAATGCCCTGCTCTTTAGATGACTCTGTGAGGGCTCTCTGACCCCCTCTGTTTCCTGTTAGAAGTAGGATTACCTTTAACAAAGCACCAGGCATGCCCACCCACCCAAATTCCCCCCCAACTAACTCATAACAGACTTTCTCTGGGAGACCAATCCTGAGCTTAAAATAACTGCAGCTGCTTTGAATCTAGGGGGTGTGTGTGTCTGTGTCTGTCTGTCTCTGAGCACACACGTGCGCAAATTCTAATGCAATTGGGAAAATTGAGACTGGATTTCAAATTTTCTATACATTATGGCACCATGGAAACTTGCCTTTGATAAATTCATCATTAGGTAATGGAGCATTGCCACCGTTTTCAGGATTTTGATAATGAGCTCTGGCTTTTCTTTTGCCGTGTGTTCTCGGATTTCCAAAATGGTTGACAGGATGTGAACTGCTTCTGCTTCCTGGGGTTCATCTGCATGGAAAGTGGATTGGTTATGACAAGCTTGAAAGTAAGACTCCGGGCACCCCCTCCTGGCCCCTGCCACTAAGAAGGAGTTTCACTAGTTGTTTGACAGCCCTAAGACTGCTGTCCTCTCTAACACCCTAACTTTCCAAGTTCCTCCATCTCTTCCACTCCCTTTCAGCTACACACGCTATTGTACACTCACCTTCAATCTTGTCATTACCCACAGAGGTTCCACTTCTATGATGAAGAATTCTGAAATTATTTTACCCAATCATAACCTCCTATCATTCTACCTCTATACCTTAATCTTCCTGGACTTATTTTCTTTCTCATTGTGATTTCCAGTCTCGCTAGCCCTCAGACTTGCCTAAGCTATCATCCTAGGTCTGGCTCTACCCCATAGTTAACCTGGTCAACTCTATACTATATATTATACTATAGTATGCTATACTATACTCTATTCTACTCTACATATACTATACTATATATACCCTCAGTTCCCTTGCTCCCTTGTCCTTTGCTCATGCCTGGCTAAACCCCAACCCTAGACAGCTCCTACCATCTGCCTCTTCCAGTCCTGCAGAATGAATGAATTAAGCATTTATTAAGTGCTTATTATATGCAAAGCACCATGCTTTGTGCTGAGGATACAAACAGAAAAGCAAGATCATCGCTGTTCTCAGAGAGCTCACATTGGGAAGACATGACATATGGCAGGTTTGTGCTGCAAATCAGATGGAAATGTCCCATTGTTCTTAGGGCCCAGCAACAAAGCAAATGGTAATGCTTGTTCTTTAATGTCACCTCCACTGGTAAAATCATATCCATTTCTGATGTTGAGCCACTGGATAGTGCCAAGGACTTTGGTGGCATAAACTTTCTTTTCTGGGTCTTTGATAGCTGTGGCTGTAGTACCTACAGGAACAATTTCCAGGCTATGTCTCTGCAAGGACTGCTTCCCACATGACCCACCCTATCAGGTTCTGAGCGAAGATGATGATGGTGGTGGTGGTGGTGGTTTCACTTGCCTGGCACCTGCTGCCTCTTGCCTATCCCTCAGGGGGCTTGCTGCTTTAGTGAGGCTGGCTTGCCTGCCCTGAGGCAGTTGACAGTTGGTGGGGATGGCTGGCCTCTTTTCCCTAAGAGCTGCTTCCTTGGATAATGACTGTAAGGGTTGCACTGCTGGCCTGGGAGGAGACAGAGGTGCTGTGCCTACTTGGACAAAGCTGGAGAAGGTCACAAATGTGGTGATTATCACCACTACAAATTTGTGTTTTATAATCTCAACTGGGTCCTCGATTTAGCACGGTAATCCTTTTCTGCCTTTCTGACTGATTCTTTATCTTATTCCCCACAGAAGCTGTTACAAACATTTTGTTCTTAAGCCTTCCACACCATTCCCTCTGCCTATCCTCACCATTGAAGATACCACCTCTTCTCTTCTTCTCTACATGATATAATCCCTTGACGTCATTCTCCATTCTCTTCTTTATTCCAATCTCTCCCAAGACCAGCGCTTCTACATGCAACCTTGATCCCAACCCCTCCAATCTTCTCCAGCAGATTGCCTCTACAATTATCCCAATCCCTCTCTAGTCTCTATTTTCTCCCCTATCTACTGGTTCTATCTCTGTCACCTACAAACATGGTCAGGTCTCTCCTATCCTTAAGAAACTTTTACTATTCGCCACCATCTCTTCAAGCCATCATCCTAGATTTCTTTTCCCTTTATCAGCTGAATTCTAGAAAAAGCTCTCTACTCTTGTGGCCTCCAGCTCCTCTTCTCTCTCTCACATTTCAACCCTTTACATTCTATGTTCACCACTCACCTGAATCTTATCTCTCCAAGGGACCACTGATCTCTTCACAGCCAGATCTAAATGCCTCTTGTCAGTCCACATCCTTCAGGCTTTGCTACAGCCTTGCGTGCTGTTGACTCCTGAACATTTCTTCCTGTGTTTTCATGACACTGTTTTTTCCTGGTTCTCCTCCTGTGTGTCTAATGATTTCTTTTCAGTTTTCTTTGCTGGATTTTATCCATATCCCCACCCCCCAAATATGGATGTCCCATCAGGCTCTGCCCTGGGCTGTCTTTTCTTGACTTTCTACATTCTTTCTCTTGGAGTCTTGGAGACTTCATTAGCTTACAAAGAGTTCAATTACTACCTCTATGGTGGTGATACCCAGATCCATTATGTCAAGCTCTAGTCTCTCTCCTGACCTGTAGTTCTATATGACAAACTGACTTTTGAACATTTCAAATGCAACATGTCTGAGATGGAACTCATTTCCTTTCCTCCAAAACTCATTTCTCGTTTGAATTTTCCTATTTCTGTCTAGGATAGCACTATCCTTCCAGTTACCAAGGTTGGCAGCCTCAGTGTCATCCTCAACTTTTCACTCTTATTCACCCCATATATTCAGGTGGTTGCCAAACCTGGTCATTTCTATCCTCACAACACTTCTTACATATGTCCCTTCCTCTCCACTCACACAGCCACTACATCAGTTCAGGCCCTCATCACCTCTTACCTGGACGCCACAAAAACCCCTAATTGGACTTCCTGCTTTGTGTCCTCTCTCCAACCCACTCAGCTGACAAAGTGATTTTCCTAAATCACAAATCTGACCATATCATTCTCCTATGCAATAAACTATAATATCTCCCCATCACCTCTGGGATCAAATTCAAACTGCCATTTGGCATTTAGAGTACTTCACAACCTGACCCCAACCTACCTTCTTGCCTTATAATACATTACTCCTCTTCATGAACTCAATGGTCCAGTTAATAGGACCTTCTTACTGTTACCTCATACACAGTACTACATCTCCCATCTGCATAGATGACTTGGACTCTGCCCTTGGACCTGCCCTGGGCTCAGATATGTGACCTTTTGTTTTAACTGGTCTGGAACCATCGCATACATCATTTCCTAGACAACATTTCCAAACCATACTCTGCATACACTACCTCCACCTTTCCAGATCCCCTTTAAGTTTTATATTTCCCCCATTGGAAAATAGGCTCCCTGAGGACAGGGACTGACTTGTTTACTTGTATCTGTATCCCAAACACTTACCATAGTGCCTAGCATGTAGTAAGCATGTAGTAAATGCCTTGTCTGTCTATCTATCTACCTATCTGTAATGGGGTTTTGGTGCATGCTCATATCACCTAAGATGGTGTCATTCATGTGGAAGATGCCAGGGACCTACTTTCAGGAGACTAGAGGACTGGAGTATGTGTGGACATTCTGCATTGGCCTGCCCAAATGGTTGGGGGCAGCCTTTTTCCACTGGATGCATAGCTGGGACTGTTTGAGTACCTTTGGGGTAAAGGACTCCTTACTCATAGCAGGTGACACCATGCCTGCAGTTTGCCTCCTTCCCCTTTCCCATTGGGTACTGTCCTCTCAGCCTCATTTGACACGGGGCCCTGAGCAGTGCAGATTAGCTATGTCCTCCTTCCTGGGACTGGAATGACCAAAAGGAGCAATCCAGGAGAGACTGCACTGCCTCAGAGCCTACAGCTGCTTAGCGATCTCTTCCCATTGCTCCCCTTCTTCCTGTCAGGACATGGTGTTTGTAAAACTGCCCACAGACTAACTTTGAATCTAGGGGTTGACTTACAGTAGCCTTGCAAACAAATTCAGATAAGTGACCAGCCCACTGTCAAAGGCAGAGGGAGCATCAGTCCTGGGCACTGCCCAGAGGCGGTCCTTCCAGTTCTGAGAAGCTCTCATGGCCTGTTGAGAGCCCTTGTTTCTGTCCAATTGTGTTTCACCAACTCCCCCTTCCCTCAGCACCCTAGCCAGCGCAGCCCCTTGGATTCCTGACAAGCCGACCTACTTACTACCTCCCACAAAGTATTCATTCCTACTACTAAAGAAGCACCTGTGACTCTGCTGCTCCCTCAACCTGGCCTGTCCTCTGCACTCTTTTCTGTCAATCCATGCCCCTCCCTCCCAGCTAAAAATTCATTATCTCCAGGCGGCCTTCCTTGGTCACACCCATCTATGGCCCTTCCACATGCATGGATGCCACCTGCAAGCTCTCTTCTGTTGTCTCGTAAGCATTCTTTGGCCCCAGCCTCAGTACATTCTGTCTCCCTTGCTGTTAGAGTGCTGTATGGCATTAGAAATCACAAATGCTCGATAAATTCTACTGGGCTGATTGGCCCTGGCTGCAGGAAGGTAGTTTCATCAATTCCTGGATTGACCCTTGGCAGGTATGCCAAGACATCTGTGGGTCAGTGAGCTATGTAAAATGGCCTAGGGTTCTGAGTTCCAGTCTAGTCACTAGAAAACTCTACTCACTTCCTGTGCTTCAGTTTCTTCATCAATGAAATGGAGGAAATAATCAATATGACTAAACAGTATATTCAATGCAATACTTATCTTGCTCTCACATCAGCTGAGAATACAATAAACAATATCATTGCTATTTTAACAAAACGTATTTACCCAAACCAGTGTCATTTTCCAATTCCTTGGCCAAGATATCTGCTGGTTTCTTGCAAGCACATAGCTGATTTTGAATATGTTGATCTAAAAATGTGTGCCAGATATCAGTTACCTGTGAAGAGAGAAAATAAAGGTAAGCTATGTTACCATGACACTTGCCCTTCACCAGTTAATCCTGGACAGCCAGGGGAGTTAATTTGGTATAGATCAGCTGCTGGGCACATCTTCCTACAGGGTGGAGATGGTTTTATTCTTAGAAGCCTGAAACTACTGTGCCCTGCCCATGCCAGATCAAAGCAGGCATGACTTTGTATCAACAGGTATCAATATCAATATCAATAGGTAGTGTAAGCCATTGCCAGGCAGGTTTAATTTGGGAGCAGTCTAAGCTAGGGGGAGGGTAGAGGTTCTGGTTCATTTTGTGGTAATCCCATGGGATTCCCTGAAATCCTGGGGCAACCTGATGTGGCTTGAAGTACTCCTAGGAAGACCTGAAAAGATCAGTGTGGGGGTAGGAAATGGGAAGAGGGGACCTGACTTGGTCCTATGTTAGGATGGTAAGAATAACAGATGCTTTATTTATCTGGTATTGTTGGGTAATCAACTGCCACACAGAACTGAATTTTCTAGTTACCTGAACTTTACCCCTTTAAACACACAAACTACTTTCATTTTAGACATTTCTTGTGGAAATCTTTCTAAAAAGCATTACTGACTTCCTTGCCTTCTTAGACAGAAAATCTAAACTTCCCTTTTCTGTTGAGGGCACCACTAATCTCCAGGTCACCCAGGTAACATGATCTCACTTAGTAATAAATATTGAGAAGCAAGATGGTGGAATAAAGCATGGACTTGCCTGAACTCTCTCCCAAACTTCTCCAAATACCTTTAAAGAATGCTTCAAAACAAATTCTAGAGCAGCAGAACCTACAAAAGGATGGAGTGAGGCAATTTTCCAGCTTAAGACAACTTAAAAGGTCGACAGGAGAGGTCCGTTGCACCTGCGTGAGAGTGGAACACAGTCCAGCAGAGACCACACCAGCACAAACCTAGCCCCAGAAAACCAGGAGCAGGACCTGACAGTAACCGAATCAGTGGCAACAGTGGTGGTTTCCAGACTTCTCAGCCCACAGAAGGTAAGGGGGTTGGATAGCTGGTCAGAAGGAGATTTCAGGAGTCCCTTTGCTGACACCAAAGGCAGAACTCTGTTGCTTTGCCCATACTTGGATCTGAGTCACAATCCTGGGTCTCAGTCCCAGGAGGAGGAGGAGGAGCACTAGCACACCAGAGCTTGCAGACACAGAGAAGCTGGAACCCTGATCGGAGTTCCAGGGTGGAAAAGAGTGCTTATAGTCACTCACAGACCAGTGCACAGTACAGGTAAGTAGTAAACACACCTCTCCCTAGATCATACCACCTCGGAAAACCCAAAAACTTACAGGTCCTCAGAACTATCTCTGAAAACAGCTACACAAAATCTTGGACATGAGAAGCTTGGGATGGTGCCCTCTCCACTCCAGAAGCAGAGCCCCATGTTAGCATGGAGTTAAAAGTCAAGAAATAGGCTGGAAATGAGCAAACAGTAGAAAAAGATCCTGACTATAGAAAGTTACTGTGGGGAGCCAAGATGGCAGAGTAAAAGCAAGGATTCACTTGAGCTCTCCCCCAAACCCCTCCAAATACCTGTAAGAATGACTCTAAACAAATTCTAGAGCAGCAGAACCCACAAAAGGCAGAGTGAAACAAATTCCCAGCCCAAGACAACCTGGATGGTTGACAGGAAAGGTCTGTTGCACCAGGCTGGGAGAGGAGCACAGTCCAGTACAGGCTGTGCAGTCAAAGACAGGGCCCCAGCAAACCCTGAGAAAGCCTCAGGGGACTGAATCATGGGCAGCTATGGTGGTTTCCAGACTTCTCAACCCACAAATGCCAAAGACAACTTAAAAGGTCAGTGAGAAAGGTCTGTTGGACCTGGCTGAGAGAGGAACATGGTCCAGACCCACCCCTGGTGTATCCCTGGGGCAACGGCTGCAGTGGCAGTGGCTGCTTCCAGAGTTCTCAGCTCACAGACAGTAAGGGGGTTCAAATAACTGACCAAAAGGAGATTACAGGGATCTCTTTGCTGGCCCTAAGGCAGGATTCTGTTGCTTTGCCCATACTTGGATCTGGGTCCAAGTCCTGGGTGGCAGTCCTGGGGCGAGGACGAGCACTGGCATAGCAGAGCTTGTTGCAGCAGTGGAACGGGAACCCTCCTCACACTTCCAGGGCAGAAAAGAGTGCTTGTGGTCACTCATAGACCAGAACACAGGCCAGGAGAGGAGTAAATACCTCTCCTTAGATCACACAACCTTGGAAGAACTGAAAACTTACAGGTCCCTAGAAGTATCTCTGAAAACAGCTGCACAAAACCCCTGAAGCTTGGGACAGTACATTCTCCACACTGTAAACAGAGCCTACCTTAACAAAGAGTTAAAAAGTCAAGTAATTGGCTGGGAAGATGAGCAAACAGTGGAAGGAAACTCAGACTACAGAATCTTACTTTGCTGACAAGGAAGATCAAAACATACAATCAGAAGAAGACACCAAAGTCAAAGCTCCTAAATTCAAAGCCTCCAACAAAAATATGAATTGGTCTCAGGCCATGGGAGAGCTCAAATAGGATTTCAAAAATCAAGTAAGAGAAGTAGAAGAAAAATTGGGAAGAGGAAATGAGAGTGATACAAGAAAATCATGAAAAAGGAGTCAACCACTTGGTAAAGGTGGCTGAAGGAAACAACACTTTAAAAAACAGAATAGACCAAATGATAAAATAGGCACAAAAATCCAATGAAGAGAACGATGCCTTGAAAAGCAGAATTGGCCAAATGGAAAAAGATATAAAAAATTCACTGAAAAAAAAAGATTCCATAAAAAGTAGAATTGACGAAATGGAAAAGGAGGCACAAAAGCTCACTGAAGAAAATAATTCCTTACAAATTAGAATTGGCCAAGTGGAAACTAATGACTCCATGAAATATTAAGAAACAATAAAATAAAGTGAAATGAGTAGAAAAAATAGGAAAAAAAATGTGAAATATCTCATTGGAAAAACAATTGACCTAGAAAATGGATCCAGAAGAGATAATTTAAGAATTATTGGACTACCTGAAAGCCATGATCAAAAAAGAGCCTAAACATCATTCAAGAAATTATCAAGGAAAATTGCCCTGATATTCTGGAATCTAAGGGTAAAACAGAAATTAAAAGATTCCACTGATCACCTCCTGAAAGAGATCCCCAAATGAAAATTCCCAGGAATATTACAGCTAAATTCCAGAGTTCCCAAATCAAGGAGAAAATATTATAAGCAACGAAAAAGAAAACAATTCAAATATTGTAGAGCCACCGTAAGGATAACACTAGATTTAGCAGTTTCTACATTAAAGAATTAGAGGGCTTGGAATATGATAATCTGAAGGGCAAAAGAGCTAGGATTACAACCAAGAATCATCCACCCAGCAAAACTGAGTATAATCCTTTGGGGGGTGGGGAATGGATATTCAGTGAAATAGAGGACTTTTAAGCATTCCTGATGGAAAGACCAGAGCTGAATAGAAAATATGACTTTCAAATACAAGACTCAAGAGAAGCATAAAAAGGTAAACAGGAAAAAGAAATCATAAGGAACTCCATAAGGTTAAATTGTTTACATTCCTACATAGGAAAATGATACTTGTAACTCCTAAAAACTCATTATTAGGGCAGTTAGAAGGAGTATACATAGACAGAGGACATGGGTGTGAGTTAAATACAATGGGAAGATTATCTAAAAAATAAAATTAAGGGGTGAGAAAGAAGAATGTATTGGGAGAAGGGGAAAGCAAGAGGTAGAATAAAGGGGGCACAAAAGAGCTTCTACAGTGGAGAGGAAGATGGGGGAAGTGGCCAGAGTGGGGGGGGGGGAAGCATGAGAACCTTACTCACATCAGAATTGGCTCAAAGAGGGAGTAACATACACACTCAATTGGGTGTAGAAATCTATCTTACCCTACAGCAACATAGGAGTGAAAGGGGATAAGATAAGGAGGGATGGGGTTCAGTGCTGATAGAAGGAAGAGCAGATTGGCAGAGGTCAAAGTAAGAACAAAACACTTTTGAAAATGGACAGGGTGAAAGAAGAGAGAAAGTAGGATAAATGGGGAAAATAGGATGGAGGGAATACATAGTAATCATTACTATGAAAAAAAATTGGGGCAGCTAGATGGCGCAGTGCACAGAGCACTGGCCCTGAAATCAGGAAGACTTGAGTTCAAATCCAGCCTCAGACCAAACACCTGACACTTACTAGCTGTGTGACCCTGGGCAAGTCACTTAATCCCAATTGCCTAAAAAAAAAAATTACAGCAAGTTTCTCTCATAAAGACCTTATTTCTCAAATATATATAGAAAACTGACTCAAATTTATAGAAATAAGATCTATTCCTCAATTGATAAATGGTGAGGTGATATAAACAGGCAGTTTTTAGACCAAGTTATTGAAGTTATCCACAGGCATATGAAAAAATGCTCTAAATCACTAATGATTAGAGAAATGCAAATTAAAAGAACTCTGAGATACTACCTCATACCTGTCAGATTGGCTAATATGACAGAAAAGGAAAATGACAAATGTTGGAGGGGATGTAGGAAAATTAAAACACTAATGCACTACTGGTGAAGTTGTATACTGATTCAACCATTCTGGAGAGCCATTTGGAACTATTCTCAACAGGCTATAAAACTATGCATACCCTTTGACTAAGCAATATCACTACTAGCTCTGTGTCTCAAAGAGATTAAAAAAAGAAAAGAAAAGGATCTACATGTACAAAAATATTTGCAGCAACTCTTTTATTGGTGCCAAAGAATTGGAAATGAGAATGTCCATCAATTGGGGAATGGTTGAATAAGTTGTTGTATATGATTGTGATGGAATACCATTGCGTTAGAAGAAATGACAAGCAGGATGTGCTCAGAGAAACCTAGAAAGAGTTACTGATGTAAAATGAAATGAACAGAACCAGGAGAATATGATACACAATAACAGCACTATTGTATGATGCTCCACCGTCAATTCTCAGCAATACAATGATCCAAGACAATTCTGAAGGACTTATGATGAAAGGTGTTGTGTCTCCAGACAAAGAACTGGTAGAACCTGAATCCAGATTGAAGATACTTTTTCTTTACTTTCTTTTATTTTTCTTGGGGTTTTTTTGTCTGTTTTCTTTCACAGCATGACTTACATAGAAATGTATTTTGTATGGCTATACATGTATAACCTATGTTAAATTGCTTGTCTTCTCAATGAGGGGAGAAGGGGATGGAGTGAGAGAATTTGGAACTCAAGATTTGAAAAAAAGAATGTTAAAATTGTTTTTACATGTTAATTGGGGGGGGGGAAATAAAATGTTAAATTAAAAAAAGTATTGAGAAGTAATATGACATATTGTATAGAGTACTGGACCTGGAGTCAGGAAGACCTGGGTTCATATCTCATTTCCAACATTTATTCAATGTGCAGGGCAGCTAGGTGGCACAGGGGATAGAGCACCAGCCTTGGAGTCAGGAGAACCTGGAGTCAGTTCAAATCCAGCCTCAGATACTTGACACTAGCTGTGTGACCCTGGGCAAGTCACTTAAGACTGATGGCCTCACCAAAAAAAAAAAAAGATATGTAGCCATGGGCAAGTCACAAAACCTCTCTGAGTCTCAGTTTCCTCATCTGTAAAGGGTGAATAATGGTATCTGTAGTAGCTATCTCCTATGGTTGTTAAGAGGATCCAACGAGGTAGCTTGAGAAACTAGAATATAAATACCAGCAATTATTACTTGTTTGAATAATGGGTATGATTAAATTAATAAATACTCTTCATTATCCTGTGCTATAATACAGTCATTCTCTCAGGCACTATGGAGGAGCATACCCCTGTTGATCAGTAGACTGAGCCCAGATTTCTGTGCTTTGTGAGCTCTTATCAGTTTTTAAAAATAATCATCCCCTTTATGCTATCCCTTCTTTCTGCTATGTGCCTGTAGAGGGCCTTCTCTTTCCTAAATGTGTTGCTTTTACTTTGATCAAGAGACAAGATAACTCATCTTGTTAGATCCATAAGTAAACTACATGTCAGTAGATTCTGAACAAGGGCCTAAGGGACATTCTTGTAAGTATATGAGCTTCATTTAACATACACAAAGTGTAATGCTTTGTGACATACATTTTGACAAAATACAGGTCTTTTTGAGCTTACTTCTGAGTAGACATTAATTCATTCAGCAAACATTTATCAAGTGACTACAGTATGTTTGGTGCTAGGAGGTTAGAAATATAAATGACATGATTCCTGCCCTCAAAGCACTTATAATCTAATGTAAGGCATTAAACAAGTTCATAGACAGTAGAGAACAGTTCAGATTTCTGGATGAGTAACCTCCAGGTAAATGATATTACTGTAATAAACATTATCTGTATTCTAATATATTGTTTTTAAAATTATTATATCTTAAATGTAACATTTCAACATATAAAAAAGATCTTGTATTTAAAGAAAGAGGGGGAAATTTGAGCCCTTTCCATTTTTCTTTATCCTTAATAGGTTATATCTGCAATTTTGTTGTTGTTCAGTCATTTTTCATCTCTTTGTGACCTCAACTTGGGGTTTTTTAGCAAAGATGCTGGAGTGATTTGTCATTTCCTTCTCCAGCTCATTTTACAGATGAGGAAACTAAGGCAAACTGGGTTAAGCTCAGGGTCACACAGCTGGTGTTGGAGGCTGACTTTGAACTCAAGAAGTCTTCCTGACTCCAGGCCTAGCACTCTATCCACTGTGCTACCCAGTTGTCCCCTATCTGCAATTAATTACCCCCCAAATTCCTTTCTTCCTCCCAATAGTGGACTTCAATATGATTTAATTACCTTGTTCTTAGGAATGTGATAGGACATGCAACACTGCATTTGGCTGGGTTTAATGCTAATCAATTAGGAACCTATCAAGTGATTCCCATGCACCCAGTATATATCTAACTTTGGTGAGTGGGCACTGAGAAGAATAGCAGTGGAGTCTCAAGTTATGAATATGATTAGAGAAAAGTTACTCTGAACACACACACCTTTCTAGTCCTCTTGGGCCTTACACCCCTACCCATGTAAGCTTGGCTCCAGTGACACTGACCTCCTGGCTATTCCTCAAACCAGACATGCCATCTCTCAGCTCCAGGCATTTCCTCTGGCTGTCCTCAAACGCCTGGACTGCTGTTCTCCACCCTCAGCTCTGCCTACTGCCTACTGCCTACTTTCCTGGTTTCCTTTAAGTCCCAACTAAAGTTCCATCTTCTACAGGACCTTTCCCAACCCCTCTTAATTCTAATGCCTTCCCCTCTCTTCTTTCCTGCTTATCCTGTAAATAGCTTATTTATACATATATGTTTGAATGCTGTCTCCTCTGTTAGACTGTGAGCTCTCAGAGGGCAGGGACTGTCTTTTGCCTTTCTCTGTAATCACTTAGCACAGGGCCTGGAACATAGTAGGTACTTGCTAAATGCTTACTGACCAATGGACGCAAATCAGATGAATGCAGGTGGATGATGGTGGATCAGGCTCATCAGGACCCAGTTTTTGTCTGTGCCCACTCACCTTTGTGTACATCGAGTCCGCTACATCCATCTTATTCTGGTGAAAGAAAACGTTAGCCATGAGGAAGTATGCTCCTGAGGTTCTGACGTCTTCTGATCCATATACACAGCTGGCAAAATAAATCTGAAGAAGGGAGAACAGATAGCAGTTTGGACAGGTCATCTAAGGAGTTACTGAAGCCTTTGGCTGCTGACATTTTCACCCAGTGACCAAGTGAATCAGTCTTTCATGATAGCTTGGGCCTGAGCAAGGTGCTCTAGGAACACACACATTAAAAAGTCCTTTAAGACATGGTCTTTGCCTTGAGTGAATCCGAGTGAAGACACAAGTCACAGAAAATAATGGGGAAATCAGAGCTTGCATTCTCATGTGTCGCTGTGGCCAGTAAGTGGTGGAAAAGACATCATCAAGGACTCATATGATTAGAAAAGAAGGTGGGCTAGTCTGGTAGCCAGAATGAGAGACCAGAGATGGAGAACCTCAGAGCAAAGACTTGGATGCATCCTTTATGGAGGATTTATGGGATGACTTAGACAAATATCAAACTGCTGTGGAGGGACAGTGGAGGAGTGCTGGCATCAGAGAGAATATAGGTCTTTATAAATAAGTATAATACAAAGTCAAAAACCAAGCCTTGTATTAGGGACAGGGGAGCAGTAGGGGAGGGATATTGTCAGGTGCCCTCCCTCCTTTCCTTACTGAGAGCCTGGAACACAGTGGAGATGGCAACCAGGCACACACTTGAGTCCAGAAGTGTCTGCTAGGCAGGTAAGGGATCACCAGCTAGGGAGCTATATAAAAAGATAGTCAGACTTCTCAGCAACTAACATTATAAATAAAACACAAAACATTTTCTGGCAACCAGGTTCCCTTCAAGAGCTAAATTATGTACAGCAGTCCATTGCTACAGTCCTGTGTTTCCCTTCCGCTGCCTTCCCCTCTCCCAACAGTTTGATATTGTTCTCTCTCCCTGGTGTGAGTGCCTCTGAGTCCTATTCTGGGCTAAAGACATAGGCCCCTGGCTCTGGGCAAGGATGCTGTACCAGGGGTTCTGCCAGCCTGCCAAGATTCTACAGTGTAAAGGGCAGGTGAATCAGTCAGTTGGAGAAGAAGCTCCTGTGAGAGGCTGCTGCTCTAGACTGAGGGCTGAGGTAGTAGCTCCTGAACAACCACATAGCCCGGGACCTTTGGGCTAGTGCTTGGACAGTGGTGCAGGAGTAAAGGTGCTGGGCATGGAGCCAGCTGTGGGACCATGCACAGGACACTGCCACTAGGAGCCACAGGCTCCTTCTACACTTCCATACACTACCTCATGGGGTTGATGTGCAGAAGGCACTTTGTAAACCTCAAAGTGCTATGGAATTGTGAGTTATTGTGATCACTTTTATTAGCCCTGGATTATAGAAATGTTAGATTGAATGATCACATAGAATAGCCCCACTTCCAGAAAGAATGTCATAAGGCTGACTAGCAGAGGTTTGGCAAGGAGAAGTATGTGAGGACAAAACTGCTTTGGAAGACAGGTTTGTTGAGCCTGTAGACAAGACGGTCTGGAGGAGGATCTGAGGGCAGAGGGGCAGGCATTTGGAGAAAGGAAACTGACCTTTGGGAAGGTCTGTCATTGTAGGAAGGGGTGACTAAGGTTACATGGAGACAACATTCTAGGATATTAGAGGAGGAGGACAGTGAGATCTGATTTGTTCTAGTGGCCCAACTCATACATTTAGAGGGATAGCTCAGAAAGTCACTAAAAAGCTGAAGGGGTTGCCTCCCCAGAGAGAACAGAGTGCTACAGAAATGCCCAGTAACCAAACTGCAGCTGGACAATTCCAGGTACATCCCTGTACCACCTGTAAAAGCCTAGAGGACAGGTGAGGAACTCAACAAGGTATGACACCTGGACACGCCAAAAGAAAGCAACTGTGGCATGTACCCCTGGGTCAGAATGGAGGAGTGTGTCCTGTAGACCCTCTGCCTTAGAGAGGCTGGTCCAGCGACCTGACCTGACGTCCTGGGGCTGAGCCAGGCCAGCCAGCAAAGCGTCTTCCCCCAGGCTTGGAAAGAGGTCTCTACATTGGGTTGGGGGACTGGAGCAGAAGAAAAGGGAGTAGTAATGTCATCCATGCTTGGGAAGTAATAACAATAACAATAATAATAATAATGATAGCTGGCATTTTTATAGTGCTTTTAAAATTTATGTTTTTACTGACATTATCTTTTTTACTTCACTAGGCAGACATTACACAAGTATTATTATTTCCATTTTACAGATGAGGAAACTGAGCCTCTGGGAGGGTGTTTGCTCATGTTCACAAAGCAAGTGTTGAAGGCAAAATTCAAACCCAGGTCTCTCTTGACCCCAAATTCATTAACTCTTCTTCTTACTATATAACTGGCCTGCGCAGCCTGCAGTCCACCAAAGGACTTTGGGCAGCCTGCGAAAAAATATAAAGGATGTTTTACCTTTTGGGGGGCCACCCAAAATCCTACGGCAGGTCGCAGGTTGTGCAGACTTGCTATATAACATATTAACTTTTCCTATTGGGAAGGAGAAGGTAGAGAGAAGGCTGAGATTTGGAGGAAGGAAGAAGAAAACTAAGCAGGTTAGAACTGAGGCTCATAAATAATAGATATTTGTTCATTTATTGGATTCCTGAATAGAATCCAACATAGGATTTCAAGAGATAAGAACTGCTTACACACGTACAGAGTTTGCAAAACACTTTCTTAAACACAATCCTGTGTGATAGAAAGGACAGGATCCATTATCCTCATTTTACAGATGAGGAAACTGAGGCTCAGAGAGGTTAGTTTAACTGGTCAAGGTCACATAGCTAGTAAATCTCAGAGCTAGCATTCACACTCATGTCTTTTGATACATAATCCATAGCTCTGAATGATACTGCCTTCATGCAGATTAAAATATTTCCTCCCATTTAACAGAAAGGCAACTGAACCCCAGAGGTTTCACTGTGTGACTTTTTTGAGGTCACAGGAACCTATATAGATTTAGAACTGGAAAGGTCCTTAGACATCACTTAGCCCAACCCCCCTCATCCTACAGGAAACTGAGGCACAAAAAGTTTAGGTGACTTGCTCAAGATCATACAGCTAGTAAGTGACTAAGGCAGGATTTGAACCCAGGTCTTCCTACCTCGAACTCCAGGCCCTACTCACTATACCATGCTTCCTTCCCACTCAGTAAGTCCATGATGAAGGGGTAATAATTTCCCTTCTATCCAGATCTCTTCTTATGACTTCTAATTCAAAGCCAGCAGCCATTAAAAGGATCCTCTGTCCTGGAGGCAACTTTGAATAAAGTAATGAGCCCAGAACTGCACCCTAGATCTTAGCATGAGGACTATGTCCCCTGCTGAACGCTGGCCTTTCACAGAGCACCAGACTGGGAATGGGGGGACCCAAGTTCTATCTTGCAGCTTTGCAACTAACACACTATGTGACCTAGGGTGGGTGACTTTCCCCCATCTGGGCCTAAGTGCAGCGAACTATAAAATAAGGGGATTGAATTAGATCCAGCTCTGACATTCTTTAAGTCTCTTGACTATATCTGGGCTCTGTAGCTTGGCCTACTCACATCATTGGCCAAATGATAGCGTGCGTCTTCATAGTTTTCTTTAGCTGTATAGAGGAGTCCCAGGTTCCAATGCAGGAGAGAATGAATTTCATTGTTGCACTCAGTTGACTTGAGAACAGTCCACTGGGCTTGGGAGAGGTATTCCTCTGCCTGGACAATGTGGCCAAGACCTAACACAAGGGAAAGAAGGCCACAGTACACTTTCTGGCCAATGTATTTAGGAAGAATTATGAAATGTATCCCTTTATAGTGAATTCACAAGTCTACGAGCCTTGGTTAGTAAATATTTGTGCAGGAAACATATTCACTTCTATGTACCTTTGCCTTTTTAATAGAGAAGAGCTAGCTGGTCCATGAGAGGCCTTATAATGCTATGTATAAAGCATAGATGGAGAGTTAGGACATTTAGACTATAGTTCTGCCTCTGCCATTAACTCATGGTGTTTCCTTCCCCTTTGCAGACTTCAGTTTCCCCATCTATAAAATGAGAGGGCTGAGCTAGGTTAGTCTCTATGGTTCTTTCCAGCTTTGATGTTCTATTATTAAATGAAATGCCAAAGAAAAGACAAATCTCAATACAGAGGAGGATATAATACAATTCAGAAAATGGGAAAGGTTAGCCATCTAGGCCTCAATGTAAGCCATGCCTGAATGGCCCCTGAATTACTCAAGGTGATACAGAGGAAGAGGCCAAATCTCTGCTGGGTAGCTGTCTATTTTATAGCTAAAAAGAGCAAAGAAGCCCTTTCTGGAAGTCTTGGATGACTCAAAATACTGCTTCCAGACCTAGATAAATTCTGCTATCTTGCATTTCTAATGATAAACTATCTCTGGACTTTACTTCAAAAGTGCCATTCTTATTAGCATTCTTCTATACTTAGTATAGATAGTGTTCATTTTAGAAAAACACTTATGTGTCTGGCACTTGAGCAAGTTAAAGCACTCTCACAGGCATCATTTCATTTGATTTTCACAAGAGGCTGATGAGGGCTTGGGTGACTGATAGCACTGTTGCCATTTTACAGATGAGGAAACTAAGGCTTAGAGGGAAAAGTAACTAGCCCAAGGTCAAGAGAAGCTAGTTAGAAGCCCAGTAGAACCAGCTTTCCTCCAAGGCCCACATACTTAACACTCCTTAATCCCATCCAGATATTTTCACTGTTCTATTTTTGTATATAAGTATCAATCTCATCCCCATCATGGTGCAGATTCCCTAAGAATCTTGGCCACTTCTATTGGCATTATAATAAACCTCGATACCTTGACTGAAATAAGGCTTGAGTGCTTGAATTCTTTCCAGGCAGACTCGCCCTGGACCTGACATTTCAGGGTTTCCAGTAACCCCAAACCACATCAGAACCAGAACTGGAATCTAAGTTTTCTGACTCAAGTCCAGTCCCCTGGCCTGGGCTGCCAAGGCAGGCATTTTCTAATGAATGCAGCCCAATAAGATTCTCTCTTTATACTCTAACCCTCCCCTGCCCCCACCACACTTTTATTTCCATGCACAAACCTCTTGCCTCTTTCTGTGCATGCATGCTTCCTATTTTTCTTATAATCAAAAGATCTCAGAATTGAAGGTGGCCTCAGGGGCCATCTGGTACAAAGCAGAGCTGAGTAAGAATCCATAACAGAACATGCCTAACAAGTGGTCCCCCAGCTTTGTCTTGAAGACCTCCAATGACAGGGAGCCCACGGCTCCCTGAGGCTGCCTATTCCACTTCCTGAGAGCTCTTTCCTGACGCGGTTCCTACTTTTGTCCTCTGCTGCTGTTGTTTGTCCTTCCTTCTCCATCAGGGAGGTGATGCCATGGCATGCAAGGGAATTGGATTTAAGTGAGGGAGGGCTGTGCAGAGTCACCAGCCTCATTTTCTCCTCCAGAGGCATTTGGGTCCAGTGGCAAGATAGAGATCAGGGTGGCTGGAGATGGCCCAGGATGCAATGGGGGGACCTTAGCCTTTTCAAGCTAAGGTTTTTAACAGGTCTCAGTTTGACTAAGGCCAGACCATTTAGTCATTAAGGCTTGATATGAAATGAGGCAGAGAATGGCCTCTTTTTTTAAAAAAATCAACCTGGGGTTCTGCTTCTGGGAGCCAAGATGGCAGAGTAAGAAGTAAGTTGCTCTTACCCTCCCATATTAACCTCTGAAAGCCCATAAAATATCACCCCAGGAAAAATACTGGAACAGCTGAACCAGAAGAAAGATGGGGTACAGCAGTCCAGTAGCCCAGGTAGCTTGAGGGATTAACGGGAAAGGCCCCTCTTGCCCTGGGGGAAGGGAAGCAGTGCAGAATGGGAAGCAGCACAGAATGGGAGGCGTCCCAGCAAGCTAGCAGAAAGCCCCTCCTCAACATATCAAGAAGAGATCCTGAAACCCAGGTGGTGGAGCAGGCCAACACCAACACCTGGACCCCTGAGTGCCTCAGTGAGGGTGGGCAAACTGGTGGAAACCAGCGTGGAAAACCACCAGGTGCCTTAGCATTCTACAGCAACCGGCTCTCCCAGTGCCTCAGCAAAACTAAGGGAAGCAGTGCTCCAAGGAGCCCCAGGTGGATAAACATAAAATGAAAGGAAGGAAAGGCCTAGGAGAGTAGGAAATCTCCAGGAGCCACACTACTCAATCCTACCCCTAGAGTTCCAGTGTTGACGATTCTAGCCCAGCACACCAGGTAAGCTGCCAGAACCCTACAGCCTCCAACTGCCAACATCGGAGGCCACAGCACACAAAGCCAGTGACCAAGCCCGAGACTCCCAATACAAGAAGCTTGGGTAGTGCTCTCTGCTCCCCAGCAGGAGAGCTCAATTTCTTTAAAAGCCAGGAAATAAGCAAACACCATGAGCAAAAAGAAACATACAGTAGATTCATATTATGGGAACAGTGAAGATCAACCATTTTGGAGAGTGATTTGGAACTACGCCCAAAGGGCTATAAAATGTGTATACCCTTTGACCCAGCAATAGCACTTCTAGAGCTATATCCCAAAGAGATCATACAAATGGGAAAAGGACTCACATGTACAAAAATATTTATAGCAGCTCTTTTTGTGGTGGCAAAGAATTGGAAATTGAGAGGATGCCCATCGATTGGGGAATGGCTGAACAAGTTGTGGTATAGGAATGTAATGGAATACTATTGTGCTACAAGAAATGATGAACAGGCAGACTTCAGAAAAACCTGGAAAGACTTATATAGTCTGATACTGAGTGAAGTGAGCAAAACCAGGAGAACGCTGTACATAGCAACAGTCACATTGTGCGAAGACTAATATTGATAGACTTAACCCTTCTCAGCAATACAAGGATCTAAGACATCTCTAAAGGCCTCATGATGGAAAATGCTATCCACATCCAAAGAAAGAACTATGGAGTTTGAATGCAGATTGAAGCATACTATTTGCTATTTTTTTTCCTTCTGTTGTGTTTTGTTTCCTGTTTCTGGTGGTTCCTCCTATTGGTTCTAATTCTTACCTACAACATCACTATGTTTAATAGGAATGTATATGTATAGCCTATATCAGATTGAAGGCTGTCTTGGGGAGGAAGGGGGAGAAAAATTTAAAACTCAAAAGCTTATGGAAGTGATGGTTGATAAATCAGAATAAATATTAAAAAAAGAAAAAAATTCGATCTAGGAGGGGGAACACCCTCGGGGTTTCTGGCCAAAACAGAAAACAATTGTTATTTACTTTCATTCTGAACCAATCAGGGTTCAAACAATGACCAAGTGGGGCTTGGCCTGGGACCTATTGTTGGCCAATCAACGAGTGGCCCCTATGTGGAGGGGAGGAGAGAAGAGAAGAGAAAGCTGTGTCTTCTAGAGCAAAGCAAAACAAATCTATTGACAACCCTTCATATACTTGAAGACAGTAATTATATGCTCCCTCTCCCATGGCTCCTTCAGGTTAAACCTCCTGGATTCCTTCTGGTGATCCTCATATGCCATCATCTCAAGGCTTTTCTCTGTCTCAGCGGTCTTCCTCAGCGTATTGCCTAGCTTACTACTGTCTTTCCTAAAATGGGATACCTAGAACATGAAATGACATTCTAGGTATACTCTGACCAGTGCAGAATGAGAGGGATTCTGGCCTCTGGATGCTCTGTCTTTCCTGATATAGTCCAAGATTCTTTGTTTTTCTGGCATCACACTATTGTTTCCTATTAAGCTTGCTGTGGTTTCCCCTCCCCCCCCCCCAATTTCCCAGGGCTTCTTCAGACTAGCAGCTGTTTGGCCATCCTTCCCCCATCTTGTACTTGTGTTTTTAATGTTCTGAACCCAAATCTAAAACTTTATAATTATCTCCACAGAATTTCACAATGCTAAATTTGTTCCAATGATCTATCTTTTCGTGAGTTTCTTGAATCCTCACTCTCTCATCCAATGTGTTAGCACCTGGTTTTGCATTACTTACAAATCTGATCAACAAGCAATTTATACTTTTATCCAAGTTGTTGCTCAGAAACAGCACAGAACCAAGCACAGATCCCTGGGACACCCCACTGGAGACCTCCCAATCAAACTATTAATGACTATTCTTTTGGCTTGGCCATTCAACCATTTCCCTATCCACCTAATTACACTCTTATTGAGCCCACATCTCTCTATCCACAAGTACAGCATGAGACTTCCAAATACTGGGCTAACATCTGGGTAAGCTACCTCTACATCCTTCCTCTTGTCTACCATTCTAGCAGCCATATGAGAAAAAAGGAAACATCCTGCGAACTGGCATTAATGTAGCTCTTTAAATTTTGTTAGCCATTTCACATCAATTAGCCCTGTGAGGCAGCTACTATACTATAGGTATTAATACCCTCATTTTACAGATGGGGAAACTGAGGCTCAGAGAGACTAAAGTGACTAGCCCCTGGTCACACAGCTCCAAAGTATCAGAGGCAGGATTTCAACCTCCTCTTCCTGGCACCAAGCTCAGATCTCCATCTATGACACCATATTGCTCAGGATAGTCTAGTAAGGCCTTTTCTTGAGAAAGTTGTACTGTCTCTTTGTTATCAGCATCTTCCTTTTCCGGAAGTTCATTACGCATCCTTTAGTGATAAGCCTAGAATTCTGTCTGGAATCAAAATTAAGATCATGGGTTTATAATGTTTGGACTCCATTCTCTCTCTTTTTTTTAATGTTCATTTGGACATTTCCCTTCCTTAGTCCCTGTTTTCCATGATCTTTCAATATCCCTGACCATGGATCCCAGCAAGGGCACCTGTCTGTTTTTATACCTGATGACACAATTCACCTGAGCCTAGAGGCCTGAATATATTTATAATGAACCTATTTAAAATGGATATCAACTTCCTATTAGTCATTTTTGTTTTGTCTTTTCCAGTACAAAGATTGCTCTTCTTGACAGAAAAAAAATTAAGCAAAATCAGCTTAAAAGATTCACTGAAGATCCACTGGGCAGAGATGGGTTCTTGGTACTACAGAGGGACTTAAAAGATGATTAATTCCTAACTGCAAAAGGCTTTCAGTTTAATTAGACAGGCAGGACAGACATGGAAAAAAAATATTCATTCAAAAAATCATATAAAGGAATAAATAACCATAAATTGATATACACATAGTTATTTACAGAGGTTGTTTGTGAGAATCAAATGAGGTCATGAGTGTGAAAACATTCTGCAAATTATAAAGCATTGTATGCATGTGAATAAATGCTATTCCACTAATGATAAACCTGTTCTGTGCAAGTAGGAATCTGAATAAATACTGACCAATATGGGTTGCATTACTTTAAGGTACTGATGCTTATAATCATTCTGATTTATTTGCCAGGGCCACTGATTCAGAATCCTAATGTTAGAGCTGAAAGGGACCCTGGGCATCCTCTCATCCAGCCTCCTCATTTTACAGAAAAAGAAAACTGAGGCCCAGGTAGGGTCACATAATGGCTGCTCTCAGGAATTGTTTGTCTGGACACTATTTCAAAAATATGATAAAAGACTTATGCAAGTTTGATAAGATAGTTGAATGTTAACCACAACTAGCCTGCTGGTCCTACATATTGTCTATTTCTTGAATTCTGTTTCCCAATTCTGGTACAATAAATCCTGTGATTCCTAGCACTCAGCTATAACCTGCACTGTAATAGATGCCACCAGGGACTATTTGGGGAGAATGCCCATGCCCAGCAACCATGCCTTCTCACAAAAGGTACCTTGGTGCTGCTATTAGAGATGGAATCCCAGCCTGCAAGTACCATTGGTTTGAACCAATAACATGCTTCTTGTGGGTATAGACAACGACACACCAGTCATAACTTTCATTGTTCAGGCCCCAACTCTGACTTTAAATTTTTTTTTAAAATTAATTAGTTTATTTATTTTTAGTTTTCAACATTCACTTCCACAAGATTTTGAGTTCTAAATTTTCTCCCCATCTCTCCCCTCCCCCCACCCTAGGATGGTGTGCATTCTGAATACCCCTTCCCTCAATCTGCCTTCCCTATCACCACCCCCTTCTCTTATCTCCTCCCCCTTCAATTTTCCTGTAGGGCAGGATAGATTTCTATACCCCTTTGCCTGTATATATTATTTCCCAGTTGCATATGGAAACAATTTTTAACATTCATTTTTAAAACTTGGAGTTTCAACTTCTCTCCCTTCCTCCCCTCCCCACCCACCTTTATTGAGAAGGCAAGCAATTCGATATAGGTTATACATGTGCAGTCATGTAAAACACTTCTGTAATATCTGACTTTAAATCTTGATCACTTACCAATACTGGCCTCAGATAACAGCAGGTAAGCTGGCACCAACTGGACTGAATTCAGGCCATATACATTAATGCGGAAACGCAGTGAATGTAAAGATGCCGGGACAGATTCTTCATATTTTCCTTCAAAGACATATTTCCGAGCTACTTTGTAACAGAGCTCAATTAAATGCTTCTGTAGAAGAAATAAATACAACATCTCAGAGAAACAGAGACAACCTTCTGTTGCAAATATGTAAAGACCTGAGGCAGACCTGTTCTGGGAAGAGTAAAACCCCCATTGCCTGGGATCCCTGCTCCAGATAATGGTTCTAGGTAACTGAATTTTCTGGAAAGTTGAAGTCTTGGTCAGACAAATGCCAAGAACTTTAAAAAAACTGAACCATTGTGGATTAATGAACATTAACAATTTAACCATTATAGATGAAAATCTTTCCAAAAATAGATTGCATATTTGACTTTTGAAAGATGCTATTTAATCTTTTCTTGAGAGAGGCAGTGTGGTGTAATAAAGTTGGCAACAGATCAATATGCCACATATTGGCTGAGTAACACTTTAACTTCTTGGTGCCCCAGGCAATTTCCTAAGATAACTCTTTTCTGAGTAGTTTCTAATCTGGGTTTTTGGAATTCCCTACATCTGTAAAATTACAGTTCTAGTTTAAAAAAAAAAAGAAAAGAAAAAAGATGGGAACCTTTCTAAAATGGATCTTCTTCTCAACAAGATACTATGAGCTTCATTTAACCTTTTCTAGATAACAAAGTATCCCCATTGCCTTTTACTGTCCTCAGGGATATCTCAAGGTAGGTAGGGCTGTTAGCCCCTCCCCTCTAGGGCACCGACCTTCCAGAGAGCTCATCTGTGGCTTCAGACGCACACACACCTGCCTCTGCAGCAGCTGCTCCCGACCATGTCTCCGTTCTTCTTCTGAATTGTAAAAGGGCATAGTTGTGCGCAAGGGGATCAGGAGCTGGCATATTTTTTCATGAATGCTGGCCCAATCAGCTCTTTGATGCGCAACACCACTGACGAGGAAGAGAAAAACAGATTTCCCTTCACTGGCACCTTGTAGTCATTGAACACATATGGCTTTGGTACCCAGCAGGCACATGACAGAGCAGGGCCCCGTGGGCTGATCTGACAAGGCACAGTCTAAGCCTAAAGCAAAGCAGACAGGATGGCCAAAGCAACCGGCATGAGCCCACTTCCCTTCCTTATCAGTCAAAGAAGACTTAAAGTTGACAGCTCAGTACCTCACTGTGGTTGGGAGGAATGAACCATTTCTTGACAACTGCCTGGGGCATACAGAGAACAAATAAGGCCCTCCTAGGATACAGAGAAAAAGATCCACTTCCAAGAAAGAGGCATTATTTACCATAAATTTGTCATGAAGTGGCAGACCTCCTGAAATCGGGAGGTCTTGAGAAAACTACTGTGTCCATGCCTTTGCCAATGGCTAGCATCTGTAGCCAGGGGTCTCACTGGTCAACACACTAAATTTTTAAATTCTCTTTTCTTGGCACTATGAGGGAACCATCTTGTAGTAGGATACATGCTGGACTTAGAGTCCCTCTTTGTGATTATAGCCAAGTCATTTCAATTCTCTGAGTTTCAGTTTCTTCATCTGAAAAATGGGGATAACAATATTTGTTGCACTAACTACCTAACACAAGGTTATTGTGAGTTTCCTCTATGAGGTGACAGCTGTAAAACCTGTAACATTTTCAACTATCATAAGGATTCATTTTTTAAAAATTCAGTCTAAGAATCCCTTACATGCTCTTTTTTTATTGGCATAGGACCTGAAGGATGCTTGGGGCAGAACTGATCTTAGGCACACATGGCTTAAGCACTGTCTATAATAACAGCCAGTACTGGCATAGCATTTTCTTTTTTTTCTTTATTTTTTTATTAATTTATTTTGATTTATCAATAATCACTTCCATATGCTTTTGAGTTTAAAATTTTTCTCCCCCTTCCTCCCCACCACCCTCCCCAAGACGGTGCACAATCTGATATAGGCTATACATTTACATTCCTAGTAAACATATTTTCACATTGTAAGTAAAAATTAAAATCAATAGGAGGAACCACCAGAAAGAGGAAACAAAACACAACAGAAGGAAAAAAAAACAGCAAATAGTATGCTTCAATCTGCATTCAAACTCCATAGCTCTTTCTTTGGATGTGGATAGCATTTTCCATCACAAAGCCTCTGGAGATGTCTTAGATCCTTGTATTGCTGGGAAGAGTTAAGTTTATCACTATTAGTCATTGCACAACGTGGCTGTTATTGTGTACAACGTTCTCTTGGTTCTGCTCACTTCACTCAGCATCAGACCATACAAGTCTTTCCAGATTTTTGTGAAGTCAGCCTGTTCATCATTTCTTATAGCATGATAGTATTCCACTACAATCATATACCACAACTTGCTCAGCCACTCCCCAATTGATGAGCATTCTCTCAATTTCCAATTCTTTGCCACCACAAGAAGAGCTGCTATGAATATTTTTGTACATGTGGGCCCTTTTCCCTTTTGTATAATCTCTTTGGGATACAGCCCTAGAAGTGCTATTGCTGGGTCATAGGGTATGCACATTTTTATAGCTCTTTGGGCATAGTTCCAAATTACTCTCCAAAATGGTTGGATCATTTCACAACTCCACCAATGATGCATTAGTGTTCCAATTTTCCCACATCTTCTCCAACATTTATCATTTTCCTGTTTTGTCATGTTGGCCAATCTGATAGGTGTGATGTGGTACCTCAGAGTTGTTTTGATTTGCATTTCTCCAATCAATAGTGATTTAGAGCAGTTTTTCATATGACTATAGATGGCTTTCTTCATCTGAGAATTGTCTGTTCACATCCTTTGACCATTTATCAACTGGAGAATGGCTTGTATTTTTATAAATTTGACTTAACTCTCTATATATTTTAGAAATGAGGCCCTTATCAGAGAGACTGGTTGTAAAAATTCTTTCCCAATTTTCTACCTTACTTCTAATCTTAGTTGCATTGTGCAAAAACTTTTCAATTTAATGTAATCAAAATTATCCATTTTGCTTTTCATAATGTTCTCTATCTCCTGTTTGGTCATGAATTCTTCTGTTCTCCATAGATCTGATAGGTAAACTATTCCTTGCTCTCCCAGTTTGCTTATAGTATCAGCCTAAATTTATAGCTAAATCATGAACCCATTTTGACTTTATTTTGGTATATGGTGAGAGATTTTGGTCTATGCCTAGTTTCTGCCATACTCTTTTCCAGTTTTCCCAGCAGTTTTTTTCAGAGTGGGTTCTTATCTCAGAAGCTAGGGTCATTGGGTTTATCAAATAATAGATTACTATAGTCATTGACTACTGTGTCTTGCATATTTAACCTATTCCACTGATCCACTACTCTCTTAGCCAGTACCAAGCAGTTTTGATGATTGCTGCTTTATAACACAATTTAAGATCTGGAATGGCTAGGCCACCTTCCCCTGCATTTCTTTTCATTAGTTCCCTTGATATTCTAGACCTTTTGTTCTTCCAAATGAATCTTGTTATTATTTTTTCTAACCCTATAAAATAATTTTTTGGTAGTTCGATTGGTATGGCACTGAATAAGTAAATTAGCTTTGGTAGAATTTTCATTTTTATTGTATTAGCTCGGCCTACCCATGAGCAACTGATGTTTTTCCAATTACTTAGATCTGACTTTGTGTGAAAAGTGTTTTGTAATTGTGTTTATAGAGCTCCCAGGTTTGTTTCAGGAGGTAGACTCCTAAATATTTTATAATGTCTACAGTAAGTTTAAATGGAATTTCTCTTTCTATCTCTTGCTGTTGGGCTTTCTTGGTAATATACAGAAATGCTGATGATTTATGTGGGTTTATTTTATAGCCTGCAACTTTGCTAAAGTTGTTTATTATTTCAAGTAGTTTTTTACTTGATTCTCTAGGATTCTCTAAGTATATCATCCTGTCATCTGCAAAGAGTGATAGCTTTGTTTCTTCTTTGCCTATTCTAATACCTTCAATTTCTTTTTCTTCTCTTATTGCTACAGTTAACATTTCCAGTATGATATTGAATAACAATGGTGATAATGGACATCCTTGTTTCACCTCCCCCACCCCGCGATCTTATTGGAAATGTTCCTAGCTTGTCCCCATTACATACTATGCTTGCTGAAGGTTTTAGATAGATGCTATTTATTATTTTAAGGAAGACTCCATTTATACCTATGCTTTCTAGTGTTTTTAATAGGAATGGTTATTGTATTTTGTCAAAAGCTTTTTCTGCATCTATTGAAATGATCATGTGGTTTCTGTTAGTTTTGGTGTTGATATGCTCAATTATGCTGCTAGTTTTCCTAATATTGAACCAGCCTTGCATTCCTGGTATAAATCCTACCTGGTCGTAGTGTATTATTCTTGTGATAAGTTGCTGTAATCTATTTGCTAAAATTTTGTTTAAAATTTTTGCATCTATATTCATTACAGAAGTTGGTCTATAATTTTCTTTCTCTGTTTTGACTCTTCGTGGTTTAGGTATCAGCACCATATTTGCACCATAAAAAGAATTTGGTAAGATTCCTTCTTCACCTATTTTCCCAAATAGTCTATATAGTATTGGAACTAATTGTTCTTTAAATGTATGATAGAATTCACATGTAAATCTATCTGGCCCTGGAGATTTTTTCCTAGGGAGTTCATCAATGGCTTGTTCAATTTCTTTTTCTGAGATAGGGTTATTTAAGTATTTTACTTCCTCTTCTATTAATCTGGGCAATTTATATTTTTGTAAATATGTATCCATTTCACTAAGATTGTCAAATTTGTTGGCATGTAGTTGGGCAAAATAATTCCTACATATTGTTTTAATTTCCTCTTCCTTGGTGGTAGCTTCACCCTTTTCATTCTTGACACTAGTAATTTGGTTTTCTTCTTTCTTTTTTTGAATTAAATTAACCAAAGGTTTATCTATTTTATTGTTTTTTTCATAAAACAAGCTCTTAGTTTTATTTATTCGATAGTTTTCTTAATTTCAATTTTATTAATTTTTCCTTTGGTTTTCAATGTTTCTAATTTGGTGTTTAATTGAGGATTTTTAATTTGCTCTTTTTCTAGTTTTTTTAGTTATATTCCTAATTCATTGATCTCTCTTTTTCTATTTTATTTATGTAAGCATTTAGAGACATAAAACTTCCCCTAAGGACTGCTTTTGCTGCATCCCATAAATTTTGGTATGTTGTCTCATTATTGTCATTCTCTTGAATGAAATTATTGTTTCTATTTGTTGTCTGACCCAATCATTTTTTAGGATTAGATTATTTAGTTTCCAATTATTTTTTAGTCTATCTTTTCATGGCCCTTTATTACATATAATTTTTATTTCATCATGACCTGAATAGGATGCATTTAATATTTCTGCCTTTCTGCATTGGATTGTGAGGTTTTTATGCCCTAGTACATGGTCAATTTTTGTGTATGTGCCATGTACTGCTGAGAAAAAAGTATATTCCTTCCTATCCCCATTCAGTTTTCTCCAGAGGTCTATCATACCTAACTTTTCTAATGTTCTATTCACCTCCTTAACTTCTTTCTTGTTTATTTTGTGGTTAGATTTATCTAGTTCAGAGAGGGGGAGGGAGAGGTCCCCCACTAGTATAGTTTGGCTGTCTATTTCTTCCTGTAACTCCCTGAACTTCTCCTCTAAGAATCTGGATGCTATACCATTTGGTGCATATATGTTTAGTAATGATATTACTTCATTGTCTATGGCGCCTTTTAGCAGGATGTAGTTTTCTTCCTTACCTCTTTTGATAAGATCTATTTTTGCTTTTGCTTTGTCTGAGATCAGGATTGCTACCCCTGCTTTTTTTACTTCAGCTGAAGCATAATATATTCTGCTCCAGCCTTTTACCTTTACCCTGCATGTGTCACTCTTTTTCACATGTGTTTCTTGTAAATAACACATTGTAGGATTATGGTTTTTAATCCACTCTGGAGAGTTCATCCCATTCATATTTACAGTTATG